CTCAGTCGTGTTCAGTTTTATCTGCAGGTTCATCAGTTTGGAGTTCTGATCTGCAACACAAACATTTAGGGAATCATTTTAATCAGAACTTCAGTGATAAGAAGAATCAAACTTCTCTGAGATAAAAACAGACTCCAGAGCTCAGTGTTTGTTTTGTTATTGGCATTTCATGTAAACCACTTATTTGTGTTTTACACTGGTAATAAATAAGTTAAGGGGATCCACTTGCTCTAAAAGAACCCTCATCGGTTAGTGTTTACTGTAAGGAACATCATTCATTTTAATGTGTTACCTGTGTTTTCTGTCTTCAGGTCTTCCAGCTGTTTCTCACTGACTCTCAGTCTGTTCAAAAACTCTAAACAGAAACTAAATGTTAGAAGGAATTCCTCAGAGAACATTGTCAGATCCTCCCCACTTTTAGTCAGAAGAATCCCTGGATTATTCTCTCTGTGTTGTCTAAGCTATTATTCTAATTTTAGAGACTTAATTTACTATATTTTCTAACTTGTTGTGATTTGGTGTTTTTGTTTTTGCTGCTGTAATTAAATAATTTCCCAGGTCTGGGATAAATAAAGTATTTCTATTCCACTCGAAAAATTTACACTTTCTGTCACTTTGAGTTTTGCATGGTAACAAATAAACACACACACACAAAAAAACGTTCAATGAAAACTCTTCATGTGTTACCTGTGTTTTCTGTCTTCAGGTCGTCCAGCTGTTTCTCGCTGATTGTCAGTCTGTTCACCAGATCTAAACACAAACCCTATTTATTCCAGTCATTAACAAGTAGTTACCACTTGTGTTAATGAAGTAAAACAAAGTTCACCTGCACTGTTGGTGATTCTGTCTGTCAGTCTGGACTCCACTGAGGAAAGTTGAACAGACTGAGCTGAAAACATAGAATCATCCAACAAACTGTGAAACCTGATCGTCACAGTCAGAATCAAAATAATCCACAACTTGAAGAAAAATATTGAGGAATTTCTATTTGATTCATTTTTAATGAAAATCTACTAAAGAGATTTATCTTACTACAGTGTGTTTGTTACAGTGATTTTATAAAAGCAGAAAAGTCCTTGAGATTGTGTTTTATTGATGTTAAATCCGTTCAGTAGATCTGGAGGTTCTCTGAATGTTCTCCTTCAAATTAACATGACTAAAACCTGCAGTTTTAACATTTTTTAACCTGTAATCAATCTGAGCTCTTCATATGTTACCTGTGTTTTCTGCCTTCAGGTCTTCCAGCTGTTTCTCACCGACTCTCAGCCTGTTCAACACATCTAAACAGAAAATTAAAGGTTAGAAGGAGTTCCTCAGGGAACCTCATTGGATCCTCTACAGTTTCCGTCTAAAGAATCTCCGAATGATTCTCTCTGCAAACTTGTTGGAGCTAAAAACTTTGACTTTCTGTCACTTTGAGATCTGCATCTCAATAAAAAAACACAACATACATGTTCATTTTGAAATCTTCATGTGTTACCTGTGTTTTCTGTCTTCAGCTCTTCCAGCTGTTTCTCACCGACTCTAAGCCTGTTCAACATGTCTAAACAGGAAAATAAAGGTTGGAAGGAATTCCTCAGGGAACCTTGTTAGATCCTCCTCAGTTTCAGTCTGAACAATCAATAAACATGTTTCTTTTAATTTTGTTTTAATCTTAGTGTCATAAATATTAACCTACAGTCAGTCTGAACTGTTCATGTGTTACCTAGAGTTTTTTTTGAGGAGTTCCACTGGGAACCTTGTTGGATCCTCATCATCATAAGTTTGAAGAATCTCTGCTTGTTGACTTTCTGTCCCCTTTGTTAGAAATGTATAAATAGATAGGTCTATGAATGTGTTACCTGAGTTTTCTGTCTTCAGCTCTTCCAGTTGTTTCTCACTGACTTTCAGTCTGTTCAATACATCTAAAAAGAAAACTTAAAATTAGAAGTAGTTCCTCAGAGAACCTTGTTGGATCCTCCTCAGTATCAGTTTGAAGAATCTCTGCATGTTTTTTTTCTGAAAAACTGACTTCCTGTCAGTTTGTTAGACAAATAGAAACTGATACTTTTGCATGAATAATAACCTGCAGTCAGTCTGAACTTTTCCTGTGTTACCTGAGTTTCCTGTCTTCAGCTCTTCCAGCTGTTCCTCACCAACTCTCAGTCTGCTCAACACGTCTAACCATAAAACAGTAAATATGAGTTAGGGTTGAGTCAGACTATTATTATTGTGTTATTTCTAATAAATATACCTGCGTTCACTTCCTCCTGACTACTCTCAGTCGTGTTCAGTTTCCTCTGCAGGTTCAACAGTTTAGAGGTTTGATCTGAAATATGAACAAAAATAAGCTGCAATGAAATGTATCTATTAGCATTGACAACAGAGCGAGTCTTTCTCATACAATTACAAATATGTGCCATTTTCCATTCATCTCCACTACCTGACTTCAACCATTTCTAACACTGTCAGCGGCAGAAATTCATCTGTTTGGGTCCAGGAGCTTCCTATTTCATTCACTTACCTGTGGTTTCAGTCTGCAGCTGTTGGATCTGACTCTCAGCAGAGTTGAATCTGAAGTGTAGCTGCTGCAGTGAATCAGTCTGACCTGAAAACAGCAGAAAACACACATCTGCTTATGACACATCTTCTGTAAATTACATGTTATTCTGTGTATATACAGATGACACTCTGCTCTATATTTCTGTTTTATGAGACCTGTACTCAGTACAGTTTCTGCTGCTGACCTAAACTGACATTCTGCTCTTTAATCCCATGTTGATGTACCTGAGCTGTTGGTCACCAGCTGCAGCAGGAGACTCTTCACAGCCGACAGATGTTCATCCTGAGACGACAAGCTGCTGACAGCTGAGAGGAGATACGAACATCTGAACCAGAAACACTTTACTGGGAACATCAGAGTCATCCTGTTCATCTGTAGCTGGTCTAAATGCGCTGCAGGAGGCTGCAGTTTGATGTCAGAAAGCTTGTTGGACTCACCTGCTGTTTGTTTCTGCAGTTCATCCAATCGATGTTCGGCTTCCTTCAGTCTGTTGGTCAGAGCTGAAACATCCACTGACTCTGCTGAAATCAGGTTCAAAAGAGGAGAATTAACTAAAACTGGCAACCAGAATAAAGCCAAAGACTAACATACGGAGTGAAGACGTAGAAATACTACTTAAAAAGAAAGAACACAAATTAATTATTCCTGCTGCTTCCTCCACTGATGTTTGTTTATGCATCAACACAGACTCTCATTTACAGCAGCAGTGAAATATTCGTTGTCCTACAGTACAGGACAAACCCTGAACACACCAGGACGGTGAAAATAACACAAACAGAGCTTTTAATATTTCAGATACCTCAGTGTGTCCTCTGTTTGTCCTGATAACAGCTCCGCACACACAATCCCAAGAGAATGCAAAGCAACCACAAAGAGACACAGAACATATCCAAAGAGACACAAAAGAGTCGCAAAAACCTCAAAACAACCACAAAGAGACAAAACGATGACAAATAGGAACAAAACAATCACAAAGAGCCATAAAAGTACAAACCTACTACAAAGAAACACAAAACAGCCACAAAAAGATACAAAACAGTCGCAGAAACCACAAATTCTCCACAAAGAGACACAGAACAACCACAAAGACACACAAAACAATCAAACATACACAAAATAACCACGAAGAGACACAAAAACACCACAAAGAGACACAAACTGGCAGCAAAAACACCCAAATCAGGACTCAAACTGATTAGTTTGAGACATAAATCCAGATGTTTTTTTGTTCTAGTTTTGTGGGAAACATTAAAAGAAAGAAAAACCCTTCAGTGACTCTAAATGTTGAACTGCTGCTGTAAACTCAGACTTTGTTTCGGAGACAGAACCTTGAAGTTCATATTAAATATAATGTGAGTCTCACCTGAGTCTGCCGTGTTCGGCTCGTCCACTTGTCTCTCGGCCTCTTTCAGTCGACTCTCAACAGAAACCAATCGACCTGATTGATCTGAACACAATAAACATCACGTTGAAGATGAACACCTGATCATGTGACTCACCTGTGCGTCATGTGACCCACCTGCAGCACTGCTCCTCAGGTCGTCCAGCTGCAGCTGACTGGAGTTCAGTCTGTTTCTGACCTCAGACAGCTGATCTGCAAATATCACAGACCAAAGTACTGATCAATCAATCGATTACTAATCTGATGATCAAACGTGAGCTTGTTGGTGTTTTAGTGCCTCCTTGTGGTCGTTTTCCATGTTTTTGTGTTTATTCTGTGTCTTTTGGGGGATGGTGTGTCTCTTTGTTGTCGTTTTAAGTCACTTTGTGTTTATTTTGTGTCACTTTGTGGTTGGTTTGTGTCTTTGTTGTCATTTAAGTCACTTTGTGTTCGTTTTAAGTCACTTTGTAGTCGTTTCGTGTCACTTTGTGGTCTGTTTGTGTCTTTGTTGTCGTTTTAAGTCACTTTGTGGTCGTTTTGTGTCACTTTGTGGTCTGTTTGTGTCTTTGTTGTCGTTTTAAGTCACTTTGTGGTCGTTTTGTGTCACTTTGTGGATGTTTTGTGTCTATATATGGTTGTTTTGTGTCTTTGTTGTCGTTTTAAGTCACTTTTGGTCGTTTTAAGTCACTGTGTTTATTTTGTGTAACTGTGTTTGTTTTGTGTCTTTGTTGTCGTTTAAGTCACTTTGTGGTCGTTTTAAGTCACTTTGTGGTCATTTTGTGTCACTGTGTAGTCGTTTTGTGTCTTTGTTGTTGTTTTGAGTCACTCTGTGGTCATTTTGTGTCTCCTTGTGGTGGTTTTGTGATTCACCTCGTACAGAGTTCAGCTGCTGTCTGTCAGCCGATGAGTTCAGTTTTTCCTGCAGCGAATTCAGTCGACTCTGCAGAGCTAAAACAAACAAACAAACAAACAAACAAACAACACCAGGTAGATTCTGTGTGAAGCACCATCTTTACATATTTACATCCATCCATCTGACCATTAGCTTATCAGGTAATAACACGTTTTAATTTAAACTCCTCTGATCTGGTAATTAACAACTTTAGTTGAGAGAAAATCAGATGAGAATCAGCTGAAATTTTACAACATCAGCCTTCTCTATGCTGAGTATTGATTACTGGAGAAGCTGACTGTTCACTGATCGGTTCGGTCACCTTCAGTGTTTGAGTTCAGCTCCTCCAGACGGATGTTCAGTCGACTCTCCAGCTCGGAGACGTCAGGTGACAGCACAGGTGAGATCACAGGTGAGACTACAGGTGAGCTATCGGCAGCTGGGAACTCTGAGAAACAAAAACATCAGAGCTGCAACTGTTAATCAGTTTAAAATGAAATTAATCAGAGGTCATCAGGACATAAACAGACCTGAGATCTGCCTCCTGAGCTCCTCCAGAAGAGTTTCAGTGTGACACAGTCGCACCGAAAGGCCTGAAAACAGCAGAGAAAACATCATTAAAGGCCTGGAAACAGACAAACTCACCACTAAAGAGACCAAATTCTGCCTTTCGGTGCATTTAATAGGTCTGCAGCTTCAGTTTGAGTCTTTTTGGACAATTTTGTAGTCATTGAGGATAAATTCTTAGTAATTCTGGACATGTTTCGAATCATTTTGGAAAGTTTTGGACTCATTCTAGGCGAGTTTAGAGTCATTTTGGACATTTTTTTGTGGAGAAATTAATATTATCCACACAATAAACACAGTAGATGGTCCATGTTTAATCTGCTTTTTGGTTTACAGCTGTTTTTTGTTCATGTAAAAAGTAATTTTGGAGTCATAAGTCAGTGCAAAGTTAGCATTATCCATTAAAGACATTCAACAGTCCATGTTCTGCTTATTGGTTCCTCCGTTCCTTCAGCATTGATGTTGGTGCTTCTTTGTGCAGGTAAAAGGTCTGTGAACGTGGCCGGCATGCACCAGGAAAACTTTTTCACATGAAACACCTGATTTCCTGTAACTGTTTTTATTCCCAGAGAGGGAAACACTCATTTCAGGTAGAATGAGTTAACGTTATAGTGTTTGTTTGTTCTTAAATCTTGTGCTTCTTGTTCTAAATACTGAACTCTGCACATCACAGGAAGTTATTCTGACGATGACCTGAGTTCTTCCTCCTCAGCTGCTCCACGGTGCTTTCACTCGCCCTCAGTCTGGTCTGCAGGAACGGCAGCTCAGCCGCCAGAGCTGCAGGAACAAAGACAAGAGGATAGCTACGTCCATGTCTTCAACCTCTACAAACCTTTTCCCTCTTTATTATTATTATTATTTAAATCTGGAGTCAGATGTATGTCGATATTCACTCAAACCACCTGAGTTCTTCTTCCTCAGCTCGTCCATGGAGCTCTCGCTGCTGTTCAGTCTGGACTGAAGCGCCAACAGGTCCGATGATGATTTAGCTGCTCGAGCTGCAAAAAACAAGTGCAGCAAAATGTGAAGTCAAAGGATGAAGCAGCTCAAAGAGAAACAGTCAAAACTGGACTGAAAAATAATAAATTGAAGTCTTTTCTTTACTAAACATTGGAGCAACTTCATTTAACACGTTTCCATTTGTGTTAATAATTCTGGTAATTTGTTTGTAAAAACACAATCCCTTTTAACTAACATGGAAATACTGGCTGGAACAACCTCATTTTTATGAAGAATCCATTGTGAATGTTTTGTTTACCAATCATGAAGTAAATAAAAATACCTTTGATTATAGTAAAAGCTAATTCCTCTAACTCGGTGTAGTGTGGTCGTTGAATGTAATTTCATTAGAAGTTGTATGAACTCAGAAAGATCAAACACTTTTTTGAGCTCAAACAGTATTTTTGCAGGTAAGCAGGTTGTTTACAGGTAAACAGCCCCAGTTTGTTTACTGCAGCTATTTAAGGATGATCTGACTGACCTTTGCTCTGCTCCTCCAGCTCCTGCAGCCTCCGCTCGGCCTCCGTCCTCCTCAGCTGCTCCACCTGCTCCTGCAGCCCGTCCAGGCTTCGTCTCTGCTGCTGGGCCTCCACCTCTCCGTCCCTCAGCCGGCTCTCGACGCCCCTCAGGGCCTGCCGCCGGCCCACCTCCTCGGCCCTCAGGCTCAGCACCAGCTCCTTTAAACCCCTCAGCTCGTCCCAGACGACGGGCAGCTCCGGAGGGGAGGCGGCCTCTGACCGAACCCGACCGACGGAGCAGCAGAGCAGCAGCAGCAGCAGAAACCTCATCCTCAAACCAAAACCTGCAGCTGAACCAGTCCAGCAGCTTAAAGTCTGTAATCCTGCAGCAGCACGAGTCCACTCAGGAACACGACCCTCCTTCAGGACACAAACAAACTCCACTGAGCTGCACTTTAAAACCAGCCTGTTAAACCGACACAACACAAAGTTTCTGTTTCCTGAAATAAATCTAAATCAGAAATAACAAGCAACTTATCGAGAAATAATGATGAAGCAAAACAGTTTAGTCCTGTGCTGCTGGTAAACACGTCAGCATCACATGAAAACAGTTTTCAGATCATATTTGGTTGCATCTTTTGTGCTTCAAAGTAAATAATCAGCTAAAGACTCTTCTGAACCCCAAAACCCTCCAGCAGGTTTTGAAAGACACGTTATCGTTAAAATCTCCAAAATGACGCCATTAATCAGTCAGAAAATGTAAAAACTGAAAGAATCCTCAGATTTTCAACTTTCCAACAGTCCTTGAACATGTCGTCGGTGACGTTTGGTTTCGTCTGGAAAGTTCACCGAATCTAAGCTCCAAACCGTGATATTCCATAAACATCAACATTTAATTTTTAATTTTTTTTTTTACAGCCATAATTTTTTTTTTTTTTTTACAACCTCCATGGATTTTTTTGCTCTCTGAAACCATCTATCCCAGCCAATCCGAATCTGCCACAAATACACCAAATAGGAAGTGAGATCATATCTAAGTACAGAATCTAAACTGATGTTCACCTTCTGAAAGTAAGCACATTCTCTGAACAGAGGAGGGCATCTACAGCACCACTCATCAGGTCCCTAAAAGGCAGTCTTGACATCCCTCCCCTGGAGGTTTCACCACTATTAAGAGAGTGTGTGAGGTCACAAACACCTGGGAGTCCAACCATTCATCCATTTTCTTCCTCTTATCCAGAGTCGAGTCTTGGTGGCAGCAGGTTGAACAGACATCTAGACATTCCTCGACTCAAAAAGGTTCTCCAGTTCCTCCTGCAGGATGCTGAGGTGTTCCCAGGTCAGATGAGATATGTAGTTCCTCCAGAGAGTTCTGGGTCTATGCTAGGGGTTCCCCCCAGCTGGGAAACCTCCTACGGAAGTCGTCCAGGAGGTATCAGATGTAGAACCAACTCAGGGGAACCTCTTTAAGACTCAACTCGATCCTTTTAGTTACTACCCAGAGACCATGAGGGTTGAGGGTTTGAATGTATGTCGCTGAGTACATCGAGATCTTTGTCCGTCTGTCCACCTCACGCTGCATTTTACCGTCACTCCTAAACAAGATCCTGAGATACTTAACCCGAACCACAACCCACAGTGAATAATCCACTGGTTTCTGGAAAAGAACGAACTCCTCAGTCTTGGAGGTTCTGGGTTTCATCCTGGTCGCAAACGCCCGAGTCTGCTGAAGGTCCGAAGAAGCCGACAAAACCATGTCATCTGCACAAAGCTGAGACGCAACCCTGAAGTTCTCAAACCAGAGACAAGAAGCAACACTGGTGGAACCCAACAGCCCCTGGAAACTTTGTGAGAAAATACGAACAGAGGTCTCACTTTGGTTTAACGTAGACAGGATGAAGCCAACATGTCGTCTGCATAAAGCAAAGACAAAGTCTGGAGGTTCCCAAACCAGACAAGCTCCTCACCTGAACAACACTGTGACTTCCTGTCCACAAATATCAAAAACAGGATCGAAGACAAGGGGCAACATTGGTGGAGTCCAACATGTTTGGATTTGTGCCAAAAAAACGACCACAGCTTTCATGTTGGTTGAACAAGGACCGGATGGTTCGTAGCCCTGGTACCCCTTACTCCCATAGGGTTCCTCAGGAGACTCCATCGTTGGTCTTTGTTAGTCCACAACACACGTTGACTGGATGGTCAAACTACCATGATCCCCTCAACAACTCTGCAATAATAAGAAGTTGGTCCACTGATCCACAGCCAGGCAAAGAGCCGAATGCTCCTCCTGAATCCAAAGTTCATCAAACCCTAGAATAAACTTTCCTGGGGAGGCTGAGCAGTGCGATACCCGATAACTGAAGCTCACAGTCTGGTTCCCCTTCATGAAAATGGGAACCACCACCACAATCTACCAAAGGTCCCTGGAACTCTCCACCAGGTAATTAGAAGTGAGGAAACATCTTTAATGAGTTTCCAAAAACACTTATGCATGTTACATGGAAAAGAAAAGTCAACCAAAAGCAAAAAGAAAAAAAACATGTTTTGTTGCAGGTATCATGTCTTCGAGTGAGACAAACACATCTGATGATATATTAGCAGACTGTCGTGGCTTCAGTAAGACGTGTTATCGAGTCGATGCTGACGACCGCTGCAGCCTGCGGGGGGCGCTGACGGGATGCTGCACTTCCAGTTAGTGGGATCAGGTTCTGTGCAGCGCTGCATACCAAACATAGCTAACGCGCTAATCTGCAGCTCACACCCTGAAAACAAAGAGGATCTGCGTGATCGGCCGGCACGTGCACTCTCACGTGCACAGCCGTCCTCAGAGTGTGTAATAAGTACATTAATATTACTGATGCATTTACTCCAGAACTAATCACTCATAGTGGGATCATTTATCTGTACGTCTGCTGCTGTGAATCAGGATCCATAAAGAAAAGAGTCTCTCTGCTTCTGTTCCTCACTTTGTCTCTAAAATACTGATTACTCCGTTTGGACACAAACTAAACCAGTGATTGATTACGGCAGCACATGAGTGCCACACCAAAGAAAGAAACTGATCGGTTTTCCGACGACCACATCACATACTTCAAACTGCCTGGTGAAGGACTGCATTATGAGCACCTGGTTAGTGACGACTGATTGATTCATTTTCATCCATCACAAAAAACGTTGATGGTTTAAACAGAAATCTGGGATAAAAAATATTAATAATCAACTTTAGAAGCAGGGAAATACTGAAAATATCCACATTTAGGAAACTGCAATCAGAGTTCCTACTATTTTGTTGCTTTCTCAAACCAATGAATCCATTATCTCAATAATAGATGGTTATTTTAATAGTTAATTAAAAGTTTTCCTTTGATGAGGAGTCCATGATATTTAATCTTGGTGCTATTATAGATGGAACTGCCTGGTGAAGGATGTCAGGACTGATTCATTAGTACCTGATCACAGTGGCGACTAATCAATCAATTGCTGCAGTTCAAATTGTTGCATTCCACTTTCCATATCCATCCATCATCTCTACACCTTAATCCTCACCAGGGTCGTGGGGGGCTGGAGTCTATCCCAGCCAACTCAGGATGAAGGCAGGTTCCCCTGGACAGGTCACCAGTCTATCACAGGGCTACACTTAGAGACAGACAACCAAGCACACTCACATTCACACCTACATAAAACTTAGAATCACCAATTAACCTCAGCATGTTTCTGGACTGTGGGAGGAAGCCGGAGAACCCAGAGAGAACCCACGCTGCACGGGGAGAACATGGAGACTCCACGCAGAAAGATCCCAGGTGTCCTCACCGGGACGCCAACCGGCGACCTTCTAGCTGCGAGGCTACTATGCTAACCACCGAGCCACATGCAGTATTTAGTTAAAGCCAGAAAAAGTGTTTCGTTATAGCAAATATTTCATTATAACACGACACTGATTTGTTTTCCGTTTCTAGTGCTGCAGCAACAAACCGTAGATTCCCAACCAGAGACTCTTCAGCAACTTCACTGGACAATAAAATCAAAAAGCGCTCCAACGGTTGATACAGAAAGTGGAAAATAGTGAATATTTGGCTTTAGATGGGGAGAGAAACCAGAAAAAAATTCACATTTAAGAAGCTGTTTTCTTACTCAAACTAACTAATCAATTATCACAATAGATGATGATTATTTTAATAGCTGACAATTTAAAAGTTCCAAGATGTTTAATTTCACCCCCAAATGACACGATTCAAGGTCTTATTGGAGATTAAACTACATTAGTACCTGAACTAATCAGCTGTAGGTGTAATGTGAAACGCTTCATATTATTATAAAAACATAAATAATATTTCTGCATAGCAAGTTATGACAGAACACTGATCTGCTTTTCTTTTTCCAATTGTTTGACTCAATTAATGAGATGAACACTTAAAAAAAACAAAAACAAAAAAAAACACACAAATGGTTGAATCAGAAACCCAGAAATTCTGAATATTTCACTGAAGTATTTTGATAAACGTCGGCGCTGGACGGTTTGTTGTTTTTTCCAGTTGAAGAACAGACTTGTTTACTGTTTGGTATTTATGGGAAAAACAGTAAACAAACCACAATAAAAATACGTGAGAAGCTTCAGAGTCCAAAAGCAGAAAACAGGATTTTATTTGAAATGAAAACACAGAAAGTTTCAGACGTCCTTAAAACCACTCTGCGTCGCTTCGTAACTCGTCCGACCTGAAACTGACTCGGTTCGGTTCTGGTGAAGCTGCTGCACGTCGTCCCAGAATCCTTCAAACGTTCTCCACCCCGGAGGCAAGAAGTCCGATTTATGTAATCCAGAGTCGCTCCGGTTTCCGATCCAGTGAGAACGGCGTCTCGTTCAGCTCGGGTTTGTAAACAGGGTTCGTTATCGCCATGGTAACCATTGCTGCCATCCTCGTCGCGGCAGCAGTTCGTTTCCAAACAGACAAGCGAAAACTAAATAAAAGAGAATTAAAAACAGAACGTTTCCCTTTGTGTTAATGGACAGACGGCCGGCCGGCTGGCAGGTCCGATTGATCCCGACCGATCAATAAACAGGTAATACGTGGGTTTAATGAGGCTGAACAGCAGCTGCGAGGATTCTTTAAACTGTGAACATCACCAGAACGAAGGTAAACATCAGATCAGCCGCATGACAGCGAATCAGACGCTCAGAGGATCCTTAGTGTTCAGTTTGTCTGCTCAGAGAACTTTAAACAAACGTTAAATATAACTTGATGAAGCTTCTTCAGAGATGATCGTCTCCCTGTATCTGCTTGCAAGTAGGTCTGTATTCTCCAGGTGGTTCTGGTAGTTCTGCATCTTTCTTCTTTTTTTTTTTAAAGATTATTTTCTGGCGTTTTTGCCTTTATTAGTCAGGACTGTGAAAGAGTGAGAGAGGAAAGCCGGGGGAAGAACGCGGAGAGACCTGCAGCAAACCTTCGTGAGCGGGAGTCGAACTCACGAACGCCACGCCAGGGAACTACATCCCCTGTTTATGGGTCGCACGCTCAACCAGGTGAGCTATAGCGGCGCCCAGTTCTGCATCTTTCTGCAGGTCTTTGTTTTTCTTTAAGGTGGTTTTGCATCTCTGTGTGGGGGTTTGTGTGTCTTTGTCGTCTCTTTGTGGTCATTTTGCATCTTTCTCTGGTCATAGTTTTGTCTCTTTGTGGTATTTTTGTGTGTTTTCGTGGTCCGTCTGTGTCTCTTTGCAGACATTTTGTTAATCTACAGAACAACACCAATATGTTCTCTGGTGAATACAGACTTACTCACGAGTGCAGTTTAACTTGTAAGCGTGTAAATCTGTCAGCTTCCTGCTGAAGACGACTGTCGTCACGTTTTTAAAAATGCAACGTGAGCCGATGTGTGAAACAGTCTGAAGCCTGATGTTCGTGACCTGCCCGCCCTCGGTTCAGTCGGAGTCGGGTCGGATCAGCGCTGGCCGGTGTACGCTCTGAACCAGGAGGTGACGGAGGCGGCGGCGGAAGAGATCATCCCTCCGGTGTTGGCTGAAGGCTGAGAAACCTGCAGGGCACTCTGGGAAAGATCCATGGACTGGAGGAGGAGACATGAAACAAATCGTGAAGCTAGACCCTGAAGGCATCATGAGTGTCTTTAAAGAGATGATCATCTATTGGCTTCACTCAATTTGGGTATACCAGCTGGTTCTGGACCTCCAGTACCTTTATCTACTGACCAGGGTTCTACTTTCAGACTGTGAATGTTCCAAAGGTCCAGGTCCTTGAAGTCCACACAGGAGGGTCCAAATTGATCACTTTAATGGACTTTTTCCATCATTTCTGAGCCTCAGAACTTCATCAGTACAGCAGATAGACACATGACATTTAGGAGGAAGAACACATCTGAGTTCTGGTAGAACTTGACACCAGATCAGTTCTACATCCATCCAGGTGTCTCAGTTTGAACACTGGACCTGGTTCTGTTCATGTCCTCTGTCAGCAGCTGGTAGCATCAGTATTATGAGATGTCTCATAGTGGTACCAGTTTAATGTCTATGACATAGAGTCATAGAAACAATCATTGGTACCCTGGATGTGGTTCTGGTTCTGATCATTCACCAGAGGATACTTTACAAAGTGCATTCTGGGTAAACTTTCCAGGCTCATATCAGCATGTGTGATGGTGGTTGGTCAGAACCTACCAGGACCATCTAAGTGTGGCCAAACAATGCACTCTGAGGCTCAGAAATGATGGAAAAAGTCCATTAAAGTGATCAATCTGGACCCTCCTCTGTGGACTTCAAGGACCTGGAACTCTGGAACATTCACAATCTGAAGGTAGAACTCTGGTCAGTAGATAAAGATGTTGGAGGTACAGAACCAGATGGTTCTGAGGAGGTCAGACACTAACTATATCAGGAGTGACTCATGTGAAACCAGGTGTTTGTACCTGTGATGGGATGTCACAGAACCGAGGGCTCGGTACCGTCTCCCAGTCCGTCCCCAGGTCCGTCTCCTCGTCCGTCACCGCCTCGTCTCCGCTCTCCTCGGCTGGACCTGCTGCCTCCGGCTCCACAAACTCCATCGACTCCTCGAGGTCGGCGCTGACCTCGAACGGACCCGTCCTGAACCGGAGGAAACACGGGCGTCAGGTGGGTTTACGACACCTGGGTTAGTTTGAGCAGCGGCTGATTGGTGTGTGTGTGTGTGTGTGTGTGTGTGTGTGTAGGCGATGATTCTGGACTAAAGCCGGGTCAGACAGTCTTACCTGCCCAGGTTTTCGTTGTCGGGGGCAACCAGGAACATGATGTTCCTCAGGGTGTGATGAGGATGAAGCTTCTCGCTGTCCACATGCTGCACATGGAAATCAATAACCAATAATCAGCTGATGGCAGCTGCTGCTGTTCTGCTGCATATTATGGTCTGTCAGACGAGCACAACACGGTTCATATGTCCTGCTGATTTAACACAGTGTGGAATGAGGTGACAGTCGTGGTGGTTTTGTGTCTCTTTGTGGTGTATAATGGCGTATTTTTGCTCATTTTGCATCACTTTATGATCATTTTGTGTCCGTTTGTGGTCATATTGCATACATTTGTTGCCGTTTGGCCTATTTTTGTGGATATTTTGCGTCGCTTTGTGGCGGTTTTCAAGTCCTTTGATCAACATTTTGCAAACGTTTAATCAATTGATAACTTGCTGAATTTTTGCATCACAGTGATCAAAATGCAGCAGAGATTTGTTTGAAGAAAGTTAGAGCTGCTACGACTCATCAGAAAGTTAATCCCTTTTTGTCATTGTTTCAAGCAAAAAAAGCAAAAAGCACAGAGCTCTGAGAACACGTGTGCCTTTACTCGTTAATAAAACACTGAATGAATTGCTGGTGGCAGCCTCGTCTGAGTGCAGCTGTAAGGTGACTGAGGTGTTTTCTGACCTGTGAGAAGCAGAGATGCAGGATGTTGGTGTTGAGTTTGCTCAGAGCTCTGGTGAAGCGATAGCGGCTCAGATTCTCTCCACAGAACTCGCTGAGAAAACACAGAAACAAACACAAGAAGGTGATTAGAGTTGATTAGAGTTGGAGTTAATTCAGGAGGAACGGGTTTCCTCTGCAGCCTGGAAATGATTCAGTTACAACAAATCATCTAAACCAGGAGGAAGAATCTCCCTGAGCCCAGTCAAAACAGTATCTGGAGATGATCATGCATCACAGAGCGACAGACGAGCATCCAGAGGTGTCATAACGCACTGACATCAACAAAAACAGGTAAAAAAACAGGATTCAGCTTGAACTGCAATCAGGGTTCAGAATGAGACTGTAGCTTAATGAATATTGATCAGAAACAACTTTTCTGTGTTTTGTATGAAAGAAAAAAAAAACAGCTGATCGATGGAAGTAAAAACAAACAAGAACCCTGTAACATGAATAACTGTCAGTAGATTTATATTGACGACAACAAAGAACAAATTCTTCTTTTCTAGGTGTGAATTTATTTTGTGTTTGTCTGAGAAGATTCTCAGTCATCCAGGTCGTGGTTGTTCTCGTGGTTTAATCGTAACAACTGGACTTGTTTGAGTTTCTTGAAGATGTAATAAACGCAACATTCCAGTTAAAGCCCACCAACGCCCTGAGACAGAAGCTGGTCCACCCTGAGGACAAAACACCGAGACACAAACAGAGCAACGTGGTGGAGGCGGTCCAGTGCAGCGAGGAACGCCCAGACCTGTACATTGGGGAGACAAAGAAGAAGAAGAGCAGCTCCTCAGGACAGGACTCAGCAGTCCACCTGCATCTCAAGGACAAAGGACACTTATTCGAAGACAACAATGTACAGATGTTGTCCTGCAGGGAGGACAGATGGTTTGAGAGAGGAGTGAAAGAAGCCATCTAACTGGAAAGACCATCCCTCAACAGAGGTGGAGGTCTGAGGCATCACTTCTAACCTGTTCAGTCCTAAGATCTCTCCTCAGGAAGATGAAACCACATCCACACCCAGCCACAGAGACCCTAACGAACCCCACTGTGTCAGGGGGAGCACTAACGACCCACGTAACGAGGGGGAGGAGCAACAAACCCCAATTGAAACCAGGTGTTAATGTCTCCTTCAGGATATCAGTATGTGGAACTCCCAACTAGTCAGTCAGACCTGATGAAGCCACTTGGATGAAACGTCTTCAAGGAACTCAAGTAAGTCCAGCTGCTACGACTGAGAATTATTTTGTGTTTAACTATAACTATTCTAATTGTATTCTGTGGTCGAACCGTTTTATCATCAAGTCAGTTGAGGCGTGTCCAATCAGACGCTCTGATATCCGGAGCACATCATCAAGTGAAGGCAGCAGCAGGTGTGTTCAGTCTCACCTGTTGCAGAGCTTCTTGGGCAGGTTGACGTCCAGGATGTGGGACAGGATGGTGACGAGCTGCGTGGCGTAGCAGAGCGCGGCGCTGATGGTGTGGGCGGGGTTAATGTGGTCCAGCTCTGCAGCAGCAACATAAAGAAATATAGAAAATATGAGAATAAAATGTGAAAAATATGTTAGAAATTATAGAAATATACAAAAAAAATTTTAATAATTCATGTGTGTAAGGACGAAAACACCAGATGTGTGAGAATGAGTTTTTCCTCGAACAAATAAATTATACTAACCAATAATATAACATCTACAAACACCTGAATAAATAATAGTTTCACTTCTTTTTTAAAATTATAATACATGTATAAAATAAAGAAAATTAAAAATAATAATCACAATAATAATAGCAATAATTAAATGAAACAAGCAGAACAATAAAGAAACTGTCACATTAATATGGAAAACAGAAACAATAAAATAACCAACCCCAAAAAAGTTTAAAACTCTGGAGTTAAAAAATTACCCAGTTAAAAAATTTCTAACATTTTTTTTATTTATTCAAATATTGACCCTAACAAAAGACATATAAATGAATATGTAAAATAAAAATTTAAACGTAAAATATATGGACATCAGTGTGAAATGAATTATTGTCATATTAATTTATGAAACTAAAAGAAATAACAAAAAAAGTTTAAAAATTCTGGAGTGGAAAAAAAATTATTAATTAAAAAAAAAATATATATATATATTAACAAAACACATAAATATACAGAATAAAAACATTTGTTGTAAATGAGACAAAAAAATGGGGTCTGTGTGTGAAGTGATGAGGGAACTTAAAATAGAAATAAAAATTTAAAAAAATAAAAATATCCCGGGTTTCTAAATTTTAAGAATTCCTTCATTGAAAAGAATTAAAATAAAACATGTAAATACAAAAAATATATAAATACGACATAGAACTTTTAAAAAAAAACCTGTAAAAGGTTTTTAAAAATGAGACAAAGTGATGAGAAAACTGTCACATTAAAAAATGAAACCAACACAATATATGATCATATGTTTAAAGGATTAGTAGAAAAAACAAGAGAATTCTTCAGAAATGAAAAAATAAATCCAATAAATGATAATTTTAAAAAGGATTAAAAAATTAATGACTACAATTAGAAAAAACTGTAAAAAGTGTTTTAAAAACAAAATAAAATAACAAAGAGCAGTAGAGGGACCTCCTGCTACGTCATGTGAAGCCCCGCCCCTGCCTCCTCACCTGGGCCCTGATTGGTGCTCTTCTCCTCCACCCAGCTGTAGTAGGCGGAGCAGTCCCCGTTGCTGGGCAGAGTGACGGGCGGCCCTGTGATGCTGATGCTGGTCTCTCCGTTCTGGTCGTCCCAGATCCAGCGACCCGACAGGTAGGTGGTCCTCCGGGCCTCGGCCAGCTCGCTCACTGTGCTGGAGGTCAGCGCTGGGTCGCACTCAGCCACCACGTCAGCCGGGTCTCTGCCGGACAGAACAAAGGACAGACAGGCTCAGTGGGCCACAGGCCAGAACAACAAACCTGGTTCTGGGAACGAATTTGATTTGAGGTTCAAAACACTTTTGAATGATATTTTCCTGAAGGACCGAGTTTCAGCTCCGATATTAAAATATAGGTTTATAAATAAAGACATTCATCTAATATTAACGTCGGTTTTATGCTAAAACCTGCAGCTGCTGATCATTAATGTCTGCAGGGAAACGGACCGAACCAGAAGATGACAACTGAAAGATCAGTCAGTTTTTGTTTACCGTATTTTCCAGACTATTGAGGCACCTGAATTTAAGCCACACCTACTAACTTTAAAAAGAAAACCAGGTGTGTACATATACAGGCTGCACTGGTCTGTAAGCTGCAGGTGTCCACGTCAGACGGACACAACAAGACGAGACGTCAAACATCGAATCCTCCATTTTCTAAACTCGTCATTTAACTCTGAGCACTTTAACTGGAAACAGCCTCTAAAAAGATGCTTAAAAGTTTTATTTGGTACAAAAACGTTTACGACAGGGCTGCCACTAGCTAATGACATTTTTGCTATTTATGAATCCAAACATTTAAGTTTCCTCCAAAAAGAGGAAAATGTTTGTTTCATTTCAGTTAATTAGTTGGAGTTTGTCGCAGCAGAGTTTACATTAAAGCGAGAGTTAAACTACAAAAAAGACAAAAAAGAATTTTAAAAAAGAGGGATTATTAATAATAAAGTCAGAAATCTAAGTTTCTGCTGAAGTCCTGAATCATCTCAACGGCTGATTCCTCAACAAAAACGCCACAAAACCAACAAGAGACGACTTTGTAATCAGAGTTTTGCCGATAAAGAAACTCGTTAAACCACCAACGGTCTGCTGCTGAACTTTATTAAAGCAAAACAGAAATGTTCGGTTTCAGTGTCACATTTTCAACCTGCTGTTAGTTTATTTACCATCATTATTTATTAATCATTATTTTCTCCCCGAGAGCTGCAACCTTCAAGTAAATATCATAAACATGTAGATCCTTAAAGCTATTTAAAGAAAGAGTCCCGCAAGATCCAGACGTTTACCGATTTAGAAAACAGCAGAAAGGAGGAACTGAGCATCAGGTCAGGATTATATCCACAGTCTGGTGACTCAGACCGATGCTGCAGCTCTACTGTGTGAGCTCACCTGCTGCTGTTTAAAGTCACCTGTGGTGAAGCTCACCTGCTGCCCTGCTTCTCCTCCTGCGTGGGGAAGATGTGGGTGGTCAGCTCCAGGATGTGCTCCCTCCTCAGCGCGGCCAGCTGACTCAGCCGACTCTGCTGCTCTTTGCTTCGTCGCTCCAGAAGCTCTCCCAGACGCCGGTTGTGACGTTCAATTTTGTCTCTCTTCTCCTGATGGCGCACGGCTCGCCGCTGCAGCCGCTGAGCTTCCTCCTGGGATCGAACCAGCAGCTCCTTGTCTGCGGCGGAAAGAAGAGGCAGCAGCTGATGAACCTGAACCTCCCTGAAAATGATCGACTTGGCGTCTGAAACTCACCGCTCTTCACCTCCTCGTTGCCCCAGGCGACCGCCTCCTTCAGCTGCTCGATCTTCATCTTGCACGACATGATCTTCCATTTCTGAGGAAACAGCAGCTCGTGAGTTTGTACAGTGCAATGAAATTAACAAGTGGAGCCACACAAAGAGCTGTACGTGGCTCATTTTCAAATCTATCTATCCTTTCTTTAGTTTTTAATTGTTTAAATTGTAATTTTGATTTTAAGTAATTGAATTTTATAATTGAACATTTTGGAGTTATTTATTTTTTATTCTATTTTTGTTTACACTTTTTACTTCTTTTTTCAATTTTTTATGTAAGTACATTTTTCTATTGTGCATTATAATAAATGCATTTAGACATTTCTTCTTCTCTTATAGTTTAGCATTTTATTTTTTATATATGTACATTTTATTTTCCATTCTAATCACTATTTTGTAATTGTTAAATTTATTTGTTTTTATTTAATTTCTTTTTTAAACTGCCTTTATTTTTATGTTTATTGTTCTATATTTTTTCTTTTTTATTTCAGTGCATTTTCTGTGTAGTAAGTTTTTCATTATTTGATTTGTATTTATTATTCTAATATAAATATTTCTGTAATTTTGATGTATTTTTTTAATGTTTGATTTTTAATTGATTTTTTTCCAATCTTATTTAATTTTTTCAGGTCTTTTGATTTAGAAATGTATTTTTTATTTATTTCCCCCCCTTTTTTTAATGCTTGTATATAGTAGTTTGTATGTTCAATTAGTTTTAAAATATTTATTTTTTTGTATTCTGAATAGTTACCATGAAAAATTGTATTTATTTTTCACTTCTGTGGATGTTGTCACCTAGCGGCTGTTCACAGATGTGGTTCATGAGCACCGTCTGTTTAAAACTGTCTCAGCTCATAGGCTTAAAATTTGTTTTTGAGCCCCAGAAGAAGAAGCTACTCACCATCTCATCGGCCTGCAGCTTCCTGTCCATCGCCTGCAGGACGCTGAGGACAGAAGAGGTGACGTTTTATCTTTGTTCGGTCTGAAACCTGAGACACTGCACGACCGAATCAATGAATACAACAACATGTAAAACCTTCACAAAGCAAACGGCTTCATTTGTCTCCTATCAGTTTTAAACTTCTGTCGCATGTGAGGCTGAAACCACCAACTTTCACTGTGTAAGAAGTGACTGAAACAACAAAGTGAAGCACTGTGGCTGCAAACTACAGAGAGTTGAGTCAAGTCTGAGCAAAGATCTGCCTGTTTTTAACATATAACAGGAACGTCAGTGTTTTCATCAATATATCAGTATGTGGAACTCCCAACTAGTCAGTCAGAGCTGATGAAGTCTCTTGGATGAGAGGTGGAACGTCTTCAAGGAACTCAAGCACGAGAATAACCACGACCTGGAGGACTGAGGAGCTTCACAGACGAACTGCTGTGTTGTTATTCGGGTTCTTTGGTGTTTTACTGAACTCCAACTGAACTTTTTTCTTCAAATTCCTTAAACATGTTTTATCCAAATTACCAAAAAGGCACAAAGTCTGCAGATAAAACTAAATGAAATGAGAATTCTGTGACTTCTTCTAGTTGTAATCTGGATGTTTGGGTAGATTTATGTGAAGATTCGACTCTAAAATGCTGCAACACGGTGAAAGAGGATGTGATTTAGATTGTGGTACGACATTATCGTACACCACTGAACACAGGTGAACACTTTCAACTACTTTCTACTGAAAAACAGTCCGTGTTTCTTCAGTCTGATCTTGGGTCCGACCTCTCTGGACAAGCGGTCCTCCTCCACAACAATCCCCATTTAACCCCCAAACGATTAATTTACCAGCTGATCGATTAATCGCAGCACCACTGTGTAGTCAACACCACGTTTATGTGTCAGCAGCTGTTTTACCTCTGCTGCAGCTGCTCCTTCTCCTCCTTCAGCTTCTTCAGACGCTCCAACTTGTCAGCGTACCTGCAGAGACCAACACAGGTAGAGTTGATCAGGTTCAGTCCTTTAAGACTCCATTCAGGTTGTTTGGACCCCTGGAAGCTTCTCCAGGATCCCTGAAGGGCCCCAGACCCCAGATTGGGAAATTTGCCCCCCCGCCCCCCGACATGGAAACTATGAGGACAAAGTTATTTTGGGTATCACATGTTGTGTAACTGGAGCAGTTAGCCACCAAGCTAACATAACTTTAACCCACTGACTCAGCAGTGGAAGCTAACAGCTAACCAAATACAACAGAGCTAACGTGCTAACTGACAGACTTTAACCAGTTTTTGCTAACTGAGGAGGGTTAGCTGCTAATGCTAACTAGTTCAGACTGATACCTATGAGTCTGTGTTCGCTAATAGACTATAACTCCATTAAAAAGTACTTAAAACTAAGTTGAACACATCTGTAATACAGAATCTGGAGTTAGCAAGACAAAGCTCCATACATGAAATCATACATTTACAACTTAACATGGTTTTTCAATGCGTAAAAGAAGACATAAAACAGCAAATGTCATTTTTTTCTCATTAGAGTGATCCACTTTTTAATTCGGCTTGATCATATTTCACCTGATATCAATATTTTAAACAAATCACGAACATTTACTTCTGCTCGACCTGCCGCTTCCACCACTGTGTCCCCCGGGGAGTCCATGTGATCGGTTCAAGCAGGCCGGCAAAAAGGACCGATTTTATTGGGTTTAATGTTGCTGTGAGTGATGACACTGATGCCGAAATGTACACAGGATTCATATCTTTTTTTAAACAAATTAAATAACCTGATGTGGCGCATTTGTTCACGGAAAAAAATATGCTGAAGTAAAATTTACAAATCTGGAAATTAAGTTCGGCGCTGGCACAGACAATAGTGCAACGATCGGAAATCTAAAGGTTTCGGAGAGCTTTACTTTCAGAAAATCAACCATTTTAATGATGTTGATACCGAATTGTAGTCAGGGCTGGTATTTTTAGAAATAAAAATTCCTAAATAACCCGATAAATCGTGTGTTAAGGCCAACGTAAAATGAACAAATCTGGAGAACAAGTTCGACACGAGCAGAGAAATGACCGTGAGATACAATCTGAAAATTGAAGGTTTTCAGTACCAGAAACTGAGCTCTACCTTTCAAGGAATTGAGTATTTTAATGGCACTGATGCCGAATTGTAGTCAGGGTTCATATATATTTAAAATACTTAAATTGCCCAATATGACTTGTGTTTGCGGAAAAATTTAGGCGAGTGTAAAATTCCCAGATATGTAAATGATGTTCGGCACTGACAAACCAACGACACACCGTGAAGCCTGAGGGGCTTCAGTCCGGACTCCGAATCTTACCTCTCGGTGTTCCTGGCGTCGAAGTACACGAAGTCTCCGGCCTGGACGCACCGGGCACAGGTGAGCCTGCGGCGGGACGTGCTGCACAGGGGGCACCGCTCCACCGCAACGTACAGACCCTCCGCGTCGTCCACCGACTCCACCATCGCACAGCCCGGGGTGGAGTGGGCCGGATGAGGGTGGTGAGGCCGGAGAGGCGGTCTGGCGCCGGAGTGGGAGCCGGAGGATGCAACAGCACGGTCCGGGCCGAGTGGTGGGAGTCCCGTTGAGGACGCCATGGAGGGGCAAAGCTAAGCTAAGCTAAGCTAACGTTAAAAATGAGCCGTTCCAGCCAGAAGCAGCGAGCTGCGGGACTCTGTGCGGCTCCGTGATGCCGGCCGGACTCTTACATTCCCGGTGACATGTTTTAGAAGCCTCCGTGGAGGAAAGCGCAGCCGGACACTGATGATGTTTTTGTTTTGGTGAAGAGACGGGAGAGGAGTTCTCCACTTCCTGTTTCCTCTGAACACGTGACCAGTTTGTTTATGTAATGACGCAAGACGTATGGGCGGGGCCACAGAGCGCTGCAGCCTGACGATAAATATTAACTTAAAAAAAAACCTGTACAAATAATGTGTTTTAGTTTTAATATTTGAATTAGTTAAATAAACCTGTACAATATCGTAACGTCTTAGCCTTAATAATAATATTTAAATTAGTTAGGTGAATTTATTGTGGGGTCTCCATCATTACATTTAAATTACTCAAACATTATTTTAATAAATAATATTGTAGGGTCCTCACCTTACACAATAACTATGGATGATGTAAGCCTTAAAATTTCAATTTTTCAGGTATATTTATATATTTTATTTTAGGATATTAAACATAATATCTTAATTTGTTGTATTAAGATACAATTATTTTTATTGTAAGGTCTTAAAGCCTTAAGGTACCTTAAATTAAAATTAGACAGGTACATTTAAATCATATTCAGTGTTGCAGGGTCTTAATCTTAATATTCAAACTTGTACAATAGTATTCCAGGGTCTTTACCGTAAGAATGAAACTTGTTAGGTAATTTTTTGACATCAGTCTTGTTTTTGTTTTAAATTAAAAGCAGTTTATATCCACATCTATTGTTTTAAATTTGCCATGAAAAGTGATGTTACTTGAGTTTTACTTATAATTCTAAAGCTGTGTGTTAAACAGCTGATCAACCTGATCACCACGTCCAGCTCTGGTGGCTTTCAATCCCATCTGCTCTAATGTGGTTTGAAAAATTAATTAAATCACTTTTTTTGTGTTTCGACAAATAAAACAAAGGTTTGACACGTGAAGTTTTATCTTCTTTGGAAAAACGCTGTCAAGATCTGACCAGTTCAGCTGTGATGGTCTTTGATCCAGACCTTCTCTGGACGAGGGTAAAATATTACGTATCAATATGTTTGATTATTGATAATCAATATCAACCCTGGAAAAACCATATCGATCGCCCCACTATGCATGAATACGAGCTTTTAGGATGGACCTGTTTCTGTTGTGGTCTGAAAACAAACAGAATTTTCTTTTTCAACACAGAAAGTCTGATTTAACTAACTTCATTCACTGATCGAGTATCAAGTCATCAAGATCTGTCTTTGACCAACATTGACTTTTCTAAGATGTTAAATATTGAATTCTGGTTTAGAAGAAAACTGATCTGAAGTTTTATGTGCAGAGATTTTTTTTAGAAAACTGTCATTTATTCTCTCTCAGGATGATGAAACATTGAACACAGACTGTAAAACAAACTCCTGAACGTTTCCATCCGACAGCTCTTCAGCCAGACATAAAATAAAACAGACAAATATACCGAATCGTGTATTTACAGACGAGAGACGAGCTGCCGGAGTCCTCACTGCTTCCTGAAGCCCTTCAGGATCGGATAAATGTTCTCAAACGCCTCGTAGATCTCAGCTCGCTCTTTAGCTCCTGGAAGTCAACAAACCTCTAATAATTAACACAACTTTATCTAACCCTTTATTTACAGGCGTGTCCAGAAAACACAACTTGTGTCTCCTCACGAGGAAAAATTTAATTAAAGTTTGTAGAAATAATGTTGGAATTATGGAACTGTGTGTTTTGAAAAGTGTGAAAATGCTTCTAGTTTTGTTTCATGAGTGTAAGGTGTTTGTGAAGACCTGTACATTTGGATTGTTTGATTATTCTTGTGTTACTAAATAAAAATATAAAAAACCAGGTCGGACTTTGATTACCGGTCAGAACCACTTTCCCCGACACGAAGATGAGCAGGACAATACGAGGTTTCACCATCCGGTAGATGAGGCCTGGAAACAGCTCAGGTTCATAACTGGAGATTAAAAACAGCCACTGTTTAAATAAAGATTATTGAAATTCTCCTCCAAACATCACTGCTGTCCAATTTCTATTTATATACTTGGAAAATATTTTGTTTAAATCCTAGAAAATGAAATCGGCAGTGTTGAACCGTTGTCTCTCCCTTGTGGCAACGAGAATAAATACACAAACACTGTTCATACATGTGTGATGAGACATAAAATCACCACAGACACAAAAACCAAGAGATGTAAAACCACTATATGGAGGCACAAAAGTACCACAAATAAACATAAAACTACTGTGAAAAAATACACACAATGACCACAAAGAGACAAAACTACCACAAAACAATCACAAAATTACCAGAAAGGGATGCAAAATGACCTCAAAGAGATAAAATGAACTTAGAAAAACAACTCAGCTGTGGAGAACATTCTGAACATGTGAGACTAGAAGAACCAGCTGTAAGGAAGCAGCTCTCGTCGTACCTGCTGAACTGCTGGTGGGTCAGAACCAGTCCTTCCAGTCTGATGGGGAAACACACGTCACAGCTGGCCACCATGTTCTGGATCTTAAAGTCCAGGAAGCGAGCGGGGAAGCCGAGCTTCTGAACCACCCGGGCGTATTTACGGGCCGCCAGCCGAGACTGCTCCTCACTGCACGCGCTCAGATGGACCGGTGGAGGAGACGGAGGGTTAATAAGCAGCTGGAGTCACAGCTGGAACACAACTTAGTCAAACCTGAGCTGAGTCACACATGTATGACGACTAAGGCTACATTCAGACAGCAGGCTAAAGTGACCCTGATCAGATTTTTTTGCCCCCATGCGACCTGTATCTGATCTTTTCATGACAGTCTGAACACAGATCCAATTTTTTCAAATGCGACCCAGGCTACTTGGATCTGTGGTCCTGAATCCAATAGGTATGCGATCTTTTGCCATGCGACTTCTGTCTGAACAGCCCGGTCGCATTTATCCGACCTACACGTCACTGATACATGAGGTTGGTCCCAATAGCACTTTCTGGTCTCTGGATATTTGGGCCCAATTAATGACGAATATCCAAATATTCGGCGTGGTCGGGGAGGAGCACTCTGACGGGGTGGAAGTGTCCGGAACGCACAGGCAGTACTTGGCTGCTGATGCTAGTTTAGTTAGCGGTCACACTTCTGTTTCCACCATCAGTGACGGCGGGGGGAGGGACAGAATAATCCCACAACCACGGTGATTACGTGCTGGCTCTGGTTGGACAACTACTTAAAAAAAAACTTTAAAATCACAAGACACACTCCACCGTTACCATTCATGTTTACTTCCATAAACACTGAGCACGCTCGCTGTGTGTGACGTCGTCGTGTCCTCTTCTGCGCATGCGCGACACTTTTGGGTCGTATGAAGTTCCCACAGCAGATCACATACAAGTCGCATTTAACTGGAAATATGAAGGAACTCACAAAGAAATCAGATTTCACCAAAAAATCGGAGTTGAGCATTAAGTCCTGCACTGTGAACGTAACCACACTTAAACCACACCTGATGAAGAAAACGTCTTTCGCTACAGATGCCCCCTAGTGTCGCTCATTATTCCACTGCCATTGTTATTGATAATCCTCTTACCTTTTGTCTGCTAGAGTCCTCGTTCTCTGACCATTTGTTGTCTATCAGACTGCTTGATTCAATCACCTTTTGTTCTCTCACCTCCTGTCATTGATTAGCAACTGTATGCTAACTACCCACTATTGAGTTTGGTATTTACATACAGCCCCTCCCTACCTTCTGACATCCATCCATCCAGCCATCATCTCTACACCTTAATCCTCACTAGGGTCATGGGGGGCTGGAGTCTATCCCAGCTGACTCAGGGTGAAGGCAGGTTCACCTGGACAGGTAAACAGTCTATCACAGGGCTACACTTAGAGACAGACAACCAAGCACACTCACATTCACACCTACGGACAATTTACAATCACCACTTTACCTAATGAACACCCACTTCAGCAACCTTCACATGAGGACTGTGGGTACATTTCTTCAACAGATGTGACTGAGTTACACCCGAGTCCCAACAGAGTACGACTGAGTCACACAAACGTCACGCCTGAGACAATATTGAGTCGCATCTGGGTCACACTTGCCTAAGTTACGACTAAATAACTACTAGGTCACACCCGAGTAAAACCTGAGTCATAAATGGTAAATGGTCTGTACTTGTATAGCGCTTTACAATGCGTTTGTCATTCACACACACGCTCTACCACCTGAGCCACAGCCGCCCTCAGTCATGACTGAGTCCTCATGTGTTACGATGGCATCACGATGGAATCACACTTCAGTCAGGACAGAGTCAGAGAGTCAGGGCAGTCATATTTGAGTCACGACGATGTTGCGACTAATCACACCAGAAGCGAGTCCTACTGACCTCTTGGCTCCTGTACAGACCATTTTCCCTGAACTGAAGATCAGTGCTGTGGTTCGCGGCTCGCGGATCCTCATGATGACGGCCGCGAAGCGCTGAAACAACACAGAGTGTAGAAGTTCAGGCTGCTGCAGAGAGACATGAGCTCCACAGTGACGGTGATCTCGGTACCTTTGGGTTGTACTCTGCGTTTCTGGCCTGCAGAGCGATGAACTTCAGATCCAGAGGACAGCCGAGGTTCACCGTGGAGACGATGTTCCTGCAGACGGAGGAGAAAATAACATCTGACTGGGTTAAAACATCTGGAACTGGAATCCTCAGAGACTCACTGTAACTGTGGGATGATTCCTGATCGCTCCGTCACAGGGGTCATCGGTGTCATCGGGGTCATCGGCGTCATTGGACAGAAGGGGGACGCACCGGTCTTCAGCCCTGACGTGGACGCCACCTGGTGGGGTTCGACTGCCGTGGATTCCTGGGAGGTGAGGTCCAGACCGACGCCGCTGTCCTGAGTCACGTCCAGAGCTGCAGTCTGACTGTCTGCTGCCAAAACAACACGCAAAAGGCACAAAATCACCACAAAGACACATAAAACCACAAAAAAAGAGACAAAAAAAAAAACAATGGAGGAAAAAATCTCACAAAACAACCACAGAGACACAAAACATCAAAACACAAAGTCTTAAAAAAGGCAAAGGAAATTTCACACAAACATTTATTTGCTTTTTGTCCTACTGGTAGGTTTCTTTGCTTCTTTTCCAATAAAAATAAACGTATTTGTACTCAGTTCCCATGATCCCCTGCTTCAGGCTCCGCCCCATGTGACCTCACAGGGCCCTCTGATGTCACACCTGCATCTTCATGACTCGGCTCCTCCTGAGTGCTGAGGTCATCGGGCAGGAAGCTGAGGTCGAGCTCGTCGCCCAGCTCGCCGCGTCGTTCAGACTTCGTCGACAGGAAGGAGGAGTCCTGCGCTGAGGGGGCGGAGTCACATTGCTGTTGGGCGGGGCTTCGGATGCCAAGCCCCTCCCCCAACACGAAGCTGGAGTCCTGAACAGAAACAAAGAGACATGATGATGATGTGTACAGTTCTTTATCCTCCACCAGGACTTCATCTGTTTCTATTTAACGTCTCATTGCTACCTGATTATTTGTCATTTATTTTATTTAGTGTTTTATATTCACAACCGACAAATAATGAGGATTCTTCTGTTTTATACTGACACTTCAACCACAACAAGGAGACACAAACCAACCACAGAGAGACAATAAACAAACACAAAGAGACACAAAACAAACACAAAGAGGCCAAAATAACTAAAAAGAGAAACAAAATCAACCACAATAAGTCAGGAAACCAGCACAAAGAGACACAAAACACCAAAAAAAAAAAGACACAAAACCATCAGAAAGAGACAAAACAACCACAAAGAGACAGAAAACAACCACAAAGAGACAGAAAACAACTGCAAGGAGATACTAAACCACCGCAATGAGTCAGAAAATGACTGCAAAAACACACAAAACACCCCCCACAAAAAGATAGAAAACTTTCAGTTGTGGTCCGTTCAGGTTTTCTGTTCTTTAACCTTAATTTAAACCAGATTCTATCAGGTACAGGTTTGTCAGTAATGGAGAAAAGTCATTTTTGTCTGGTTTCAAAGCCAGCTGTCAGATCCAGTCAGGTTTCATTCTGTCGTACGTCTGCAGGTCTCGCTGGTCCACTCAGTGTTTTCACTGCTGTGGTTATTTCATCATTTCACTCTGCTGCTCTGAGAAGCTCGGCTGTTCGCTGCTTTCTTAGCTTTCAGACAGAAACTCTTCATCCATCAGCTCCAAACTCTCCTCAACATTTAAATAACGTTTAAATCATAGACAGCACTCACATTTGCAATGGAGTCATCGAAGTATCGCTCCAACGCCGACTCGTCCATGACGCCACCATCGGACCTGCTCCACCTGATTCAGGATCTGATCCAGCAGCTGCACACCTGCATCCAATGAGACACTCAGAGTCTGTGAATAACCAGCTGCTGAAGCTGATGAACAGATTCATTCTGCATCAGGTCATCTGAAAAACACCAGAGATGATATTTTACAGACTCCTCATGACTTCAGAATCATGTCTGCATTAGTATTATTATTATTGGTGCTATTTTTAAATAAATGTTATAAATTCTTATTATTATTAACCATAGCAGGAGTAGGAGGAGGAGTTAGTTCGTTTTTCATATTGCTATCAGTGGCCATAATTGTTCCTGTTATCATGATTCCTATCATTGCTATTTTGTTTCTTATTCTTTTAAAATTTTCACATTATTGTTGTTTTATTGTTTTTATAATAAAAATAATAATAATAGACGATAGACAGAATTTTCATTCACATTACCATATTCATTGTTATATTTATTCTTATTACTACTACAAATATTGTATTAGGTTCTTTCTTATCATTGCTTTCACATTTTAACATTAATATAATTTGTAGTAATTCGTTGTTTATATTAGTTATTTATATTTTTATATTTCGTCTTACTATAAAATGTTCACATACTACTATGAATATATTATTATTATTATTATTATTATTGTCTGCTTACAGTTCCTCCTCCCTCCTGCAGGGGGAAACCTGCCCGCCTTAAACACCACAGGAAGCCGCTTCTGCGCCTGCGCACCACATGTAAACAAAGCAGCATGGCGGCGGCACTGTCTGGAGAGAAGAGACAGCGGCGAACATTGAAGTGATCTTATCAGTGATTATTATCGATCTGCGATCAGCTGAGAGACGGACTCAATCAATAAGTCATCAATCAATCAGTCAGATCGATGACGGAGAGAAAAGATGGAGTCTGTGAGGAAACGACTGGCTGAATGTTCGCAGGAGGCTCACGGTGAGGAGATCAGCTGATCACAGTATCAGTGGCAGAACTGATCACGGTATTGATCACAGTATCGATCAGTTCTTGTACCTGTAGTATTACTACAGCTGTGGTTGCTGTTGGTACTACAACTGCTGCAGTACTCATGGTTACTTCTACTCGGAGCTGCAGCTGATTACTTTCATTATTGATTCATTCATCAGCTGTTAATCACTAATCACTTAATCAATGAATTGTCGCAGTTGTACTACTACTGATACTAATACTGCTGATACTAGTACTGCTGTTACTAGTACTACTGTTGTTAATACTACTGATACTAGTACTGGTAATACTAGTAACTCCTACTGTAGTACTTCCACCAGGTGTAGCTGCTGCTGTCAGGTGAGTCTCAGCTGCTCCTGCTGATCAGTCAGCTGATTGGTTATTGATCACCTCTCAGATCTGTACCTGAACCAATCGGTGCCGTACCTGGACGGACCGCCTGACCCGCTGCTCTTCTACAGAGACTGGATTGGTCCCAACAAGCCCTGCATCATCCGCAATGCCTTCAACCATTGGCCGGCTCTGTCCAGGTGGACGCCCGACTACCTGAGGTGAGGAAGCTCCGCCCACAAACACACCTGAGCAGAGCTTCGATTCTTTAATCTGGATCAAACAGAAATTCATACTGATCACGTCTGTGTCTCCTGGTGTTTGTTGACAGTAACTTTGCGTCTTTGTTGTTGTTTATCTGAAGAGAGAAGGTCGGGTCGAAGGTCATCAGCGTGGCGGTGACTCCCAACGGTTATGCCGACGCCGTCAACGGGGATCGATTCGTGATGCCTGAAGAACGACAGATGTGCTTCTCCTCAGTGCTGGACGTCATCGAGGGGAAGGTGAGAGGAGACATGTTCTAAACAGTGTTCTAATGAAGTTCTGTTGAACAGGTGCAGCATTCCGGCATGTTCTACGTTCAGAAACAGTGTTCTAATGAAGTTCTACTGAACAGGTGCAGCGTTCCGGTGTGTTCTACGTTCAGAAACAGTGTTCTAACCTGCTGCAGGAACTTCCTGAACTCACCGACGACCTCGAGCCTCACGTCTCCTGGATGAGTGCTGCACTTGGTGAGTTTATGCTACTGAGCATGCTCAGACGGACACCTGTCACACCTGAGGGTCGCACTACAAACAGGTTCAACAAAGTCAAGATTTCTTTGAGTTAGCCAGCTCAACTAAACCTACAACACAGTCAGAGCTGACAGGGATCATCACACTGAGCGCACTCACATGAAACGTTGTGATTGAATCTTTTTCTGGTCATCTTGTGTGTCTGCCTTAATTCTTTATCTGTTTTTTTTAACCGGTTTGGGGGTTTTTATGGTTCTTTTGTGTCTAGTAGTGAGCCGTTAGCTTGTCTTTGTCACTGTGTTGTGTCTCGATGTGGTATTCAGGAAACAAGTCAGACCTTCAACATATTCAAGCTGCTCAAAACCTCCTTAAAACAGCTTAAAAAATTCCTTAAAGAAACTGTAGAGCCCTTAAAGGAGCTGATTTGAACAGTCTGCAGTATTTTTATTCTGTAAACATATAGACATATAAAGTCATTCAGAAACCTGCTCCTGATGAAGGAGTTGAGGAAAAACAGAAAAATACTTTTGTCATGTAAAAAACTGAACTTACACGAAACAAAATCAGTCCACAGATGTTCTCCTGCAGTCATTGTAGTTTCAGCTTCAGAACAAACAAACAGACGATCACCACTGAGGTGCAGTCGGTCTGACGTCAGATGTTTTTAGTTTTTAAAGTCCTGCAGCTGCTGAATCCGTCTTCGGTCACGATTCAAAGGTTCTTCAGGAGTTTCCAGAAGTGACAGAAACCTACAGAAGCTACAACTCAAGTCCTAACGATCCAACTCTGTGTTTTAAGTTCTGAAAACAACAGATTTTCTTGTGTGTTCTGTTCGTTTTGGTTTCTTGGACCCTCGTTGGCGGCTAAAGTTCACAACGTTTGGTTTTAAAGGTTTATTCTTCAGAGTTTTTGGAGAAGTTCCTCCTAAACCAAGTCGCGTCTCCATGATCTGGACCAAAGAGGAGTTCATGACAAACTCGTAGAACTCTGGTTTTGACTCTCCAGCTCCCCTGAGGATGAACCTTCAGTCTTCCAGGATCTGGTCTCGGCGCCGGTCCAGTTCTTCGGCCAGACTCCTCAGGCTCCGGCCCATCCTGCGGGGCTTCCGGACCTCCCGCTGGTACCGGAACCCGCCGAAGCCTCGGTGCTGCCGACCCGGTTTGAACCCGAATAGCTCGTCCTTCTTGAACTCGTCCACAAACCGCGCCACGTCGTCGGTCCTGCGGGTCGAGGACGCGAGGTGGGCCAGAAGGGAGGATGGGCTCGGAGCGACGCCGCCTGTGAAGAAGAGCCGGTCCAGGTGCCGGGCCTCTGGGCCGGACAGGTGAGCGCTGAGCTCCACCTGCTGCTGCGTGAAGCTTCCTTTACCGAACTCGATCACACCTGCAGAACCAAAGGACCAAAGGTACTGATGTCATCGTTAGAGTCGTTTTAATTAAATCACAGAAAACGTTTAATAGATTCAACTGAACGAGACGCGAGGCTTCAAGTCTGAACAGAAACTACTGCTGATTTCTTTTATATGGAAACGAGAATCTAGAAACACGCCGATGTCGTATATTCAGGAAGAAACTCTGTTGAAGCCTCTGAAGCCACAAACGGGTTCTAAAGACGAATCCATCATCAGTCAAACTGTAAAATAAGGAAGAATAATCGCACGTTAAACTTCCAGATGGTTCTTGAACATGGCGTTACGTCAGAAAAAATAACAATCTCTGGTTAAAACTGTGGCTGCAGGTGGATCAGTGATTAGCACCGTCGCCTCACAGCTAGAAGGTCGGCGGTTGGCGTCCCGGTGAGGACACCCGGGATCTTTCTGCGTGGAGTCTCCATGTTCTCCCCGTGCAGCGTGGGTTCTCTCCGGGTTCTCCGGCTTCCTCCCACAGTACAGAAACATGCTGAGGTTAATTGGTGATTCTGAATTGTCCGTAGGTGTGAATGTGAGTGTGCTTGGTTGTCTGTCTCTAAGTGTAGCCCTGTGATAGACTGGTTACCTGTCCAGGGTGTCCCCTGCCTTCACCCTGAGTCAGCTGGAATAGACTCCAGCCCCCCATGACCCTAGTGAGGGTTAAGGTGGAGAGATGATGGATGGACTGTATTGTTCGTGCTACATTCCACGTCCAGTGTTGGTTTGAGCCGACAGCCTGAAAATTGTCCAAAAAGTTCGAAAAACAAATTTCATTTTGGACGAATTTTGAAAACATTTGGACATTTCTTGAGCCACTTTACTTTTGATTTTAGTTTCAAATAATTTTTGACTGAGAGGAAACTTCTTATAAACTTTTAATTTCACATATTTGCAGGTTAGTAGCTGCTGACTGTTCAGAGAGTTTGTGAGATTCAGAGTTTAGTTTGAGAAACAAACTGTAGATGCAGCATCCTCTCAGCAGGTGGCGCTGCTGCACTGATACCACACCAATATCAGACAGTCTGAGAAAATAAAATCAGTTTTCACCCTGAATATGAGACAGTGTGAGGATTTTAGATCCCTTTCTTCTAACGTCTGTTTCTTCAGTCGACGTTGCTGCTGCAGAGACGAGTTGCAAACCGGATGAACGTTGGAGTGAAAACAGCAGCTGAGAGGAAATATTTAAACACTTCAGACGATAAAATCTGTTTCAAACCTTTGAACTCGCCGACCATCACCTCCGTGACGAGGTCCAGGCTCTCGTTCCCTCCCGGTTTCCCCTCAACGTTCAGCACTCGGTTCCACTTGAGTTCCTGCCTGATCCGCTCCGGGTAGAACCCCTCCATCCCTGTCGCCATGACAACAGGGTCAAACATCTACAGCAGCATCTTAAATCATCAGGGTTCTTCTGCTGTACCGTCTCTGATCGGCTCCAAACTCTTCTACCATGAACTCTGGATGTTTTAACTTCATACAACAAATAGTTTTTGAGGTTAATGTTATTTAAAAATCTGCCCGTCGACCCACGTCCAGCAGGTTTTATCTCACATTTAAATCTGTGGCTGTTTGAACAACATCTGAGGAACTATTAAAGACAAAAACCTGAAACGTTCTCTGTAATTTCTCATCATGTGATCGATTTAAAATCTACAATATTGAACATGTAGATCAAATAATCTCTGAGTTTTGGTTATATTCAGAGAACCACTTAGACTTCTGTCAGTTATCAGGTTCAGTGAAATTAACTTCCTCTTCATGTTTGTGACCGACTGTTTCACAATAAAAGTCTTCCACATGTTTAGTTTAGTATTATTGAGACCTGCAGCTACATGTGGGTCACAGAATATATGTTTTTATTAATGTGCTCAAAGATAAGACTTTTCATGTTGGCTTCATTTTTGTACTAATCCTTCAACTCCCCCATAATCAGACATTATTTGATCCACTGGTCCAATATTACAGATTCTGAATCAGCGACATGATGAGAAATAACAGAGAAAGTTTCAGGTTTTTATCTTTAAGAGTTCCTCAGATGTTGTTGTTCAAACAGCCTCAGATCTCAAGAACCTGCTGAAAGTGGGTCAAAGGGCATTTCTAAAAAAATATTTGATCATGGAAAGTATTTGATGTTTAAATATAAAATTTCACAAATATCTTTAAAAACATCTCTAGTTTGTGAGATAAAAGCTTCAGGCGAATCCAAGATGTTCGAGCAGAAAAACTGAGCTGATCTGAGACGGAACGATCCTGAATGAGACTAGAACAGCTGAATGTTGTCTGGAGACAGAACCAGAACCAGAACCAGGACCAGGACCAGGACCAGGACCAGGACCCTGACTCGTACCGGTGAGGAGCTGGTGGCTGCTGTTGAACAGCTGCAGATGTTCTTGGTTCCACAGCAGAACCATGTCCATCTTCCAGAAGTCCATCATGGCGTCTCCGTCTCCCTCCTGGACGGTGTCTCGTCTGGTCATGTGGTACAGCCCCTCCCACAGCACTGCCCGGGTGTAGTTCAGAACAAAGTCCTCCCCGTCCTCCGCCAGTGAGCAGGACTCGGAACAGAACCACGGAGCTGGATCACCAGGAGGAGAAGAAGAAGAAGAAGAAGAAGAAAAGAAGTAGGGGAAGAAGAAGGAGGAGGAGGAGAAGAAAGAGGAGAAGAAGAAGAAGAAGGAGAAGCAGAAGAAGAAGAAAAAGGAGGAGAAGAAGAAGAAGACGAAGCTGGTTATCAGGTTCAGATCAAATCCAGAACTCCTTCAGACCTTTTTAATTAACAGTCGTTTACATTTTGACCAACATTGATGCCCTCAGAGTCAAAGACTGGAAAAAAACCCCAATGATTCCATGAATTTATTAAGAAATGTAAAATATTTTCTGAACTTTCAGCTCCTTTAAATGATTAATGTGACCTGGACTGATATCAGAAACATCAAACTGATCTTTAATGGGACTTAAATTCACCACAGTATCGTGAACTCTGATATTCGTCCAGAATAAACCTCCACAAACGTACAGAGATCAGAACTATGTAGCAGTCAGTTCAGAACTCCATTGAGAATTTATCTGTTTTTAGGGTTTTCTTTTGGATGATTTTAAACTGCACTAACTCGTAACTCTTTCAAATCTAAACTCACAGAGTTTAAAGACCCGTTTTCTGATTCTGTGTTGGTTAAACTTGACGAGGAGATCAGCTGCTTTGACGTTCATCACAGCAAACCTCAAGAGATCCACTTAAAGAGATACAGAACCGTTCAGAACTCCATTAAGAATCTGTCTGTTTTTAGTTCCAGTGATATTTAATATCTGAAGCAGCTCCCAGAATGTTCTGCTGCTTCAGCTCCACATTAAACCTGGTGATAAACCCTAACTGATAGTAATGTTGGTCTCACTGTGTTGGGCCCGGTTCTGCTCGGCGGTGCTCAGACAGTCTCTGTGGTACCACTCGTGTCTCCTGCACTTGTCCATCCGTCCACACTGGACCATCTGTCCTCCCCTCTGCTCCTTACAGTGACAGTAGATGTAGGTCCCGTTGGCTGCACAGTCCTGGCTGCAGAACCAGTCGTCGTGTGGTTCTGAGTGGGCCTGAACGCAGCCTTCATGGAACCAGATACTTGGACAGAGATTACTGCAGCAGCGCAGCAGCTTCTCATCTGGTTTCTCTGAAAAAAACACACAAATGGATCATTGCAGGTGTCAGAGTTTGAAGCAGAGAGACGTCAGATTTAGAGCAAACTGTGCTGGAAGCTTGATGTTTACGGTTCTGGTCCATGAATCTGTACGTGAGCTGCTGCGGTTCTGACCTTGTTTGCAGTAACAGAAGGGAAACACGTCGCTCTGCTCTCCTGCAGCAGCAGCAGCTGCAGCAGCGTTGATGTCCTCCTGCGACGGAGGCATCCAGACCAGGTCCAGCAGCCGCTGAGCGAGTCGGCTCAGCCAGTCCATCTGGTCTGACGGCTGAGACGGGTAATCCGGTGGCCGCTGCTCCACCGAGTCCAAGTCGCACTCGGTCACCGCGAACAGAGTCACTAACGCCGTCGTCACAAACTACGAAACAAACAGATTCAGTCGCGATTTGTTCGTCCAGAAAACGTCTGACAATAAAAGCTCGTTCTGATCTCAACAGTCCAGAATTCAAAACAACATAATACTCAGATTAATGTGACAAAGAAAAGCGGCATGTCCTGGTAATCTAGGATCTCTTTCATGCAAATATTTCGCTTTATACCTTAAAAAAGTCTCATAGTCGTTGATGTTCCACCACAGTACGTTACGTTGCATTACATTTTGTCATTCCCTTGTAATATTTGTTCTTTTGAAGATAATATTTGCATAAATTTTGTGTTCACTCAAAATATTTGTCATGTTGCAGTACCGTAATGTCTGGACTATAAGCCGCTACTTTTTCCACACGTTTATACACTGCGGCTCAAACAACAATGAGGCTAATTTATGGATTTTTACGAGTTTTACAAATTTTCCTTGAGACCAAAGTGACGCTGAGAGCGACAACGACAGAGAGACTGAAGAAGTGATGAAGTGATTCTGAGGCTGTTCAGCTCCTGAAGACACTGAAGAAGACGACTTTAGTGGTTTTAGTGCAGGAGGAAGATGAAGACAGCGATCAATGACTCTTCCTGGTAGGCTGCTGGAGTTTAATTTCCTTTACCAGCCGTGTTACAGGAACTGTTCAGAAAAAAGCATCTACGGTACGTATCTGTGTATGTTACCGCTACGTATTTAATTAAACATTAAAACATCTTTCTGTGTAAATATCTCATGTTCCAATGTGGACACCTGCAGCCTGTATATGTACACACCTGGTTTTCTTTTTAGAGTTAGTGGATGTGGCTTATATTCAGGTGCCTCAATAGTCCAGAATTTACAGTAATTTTTGCATAAATTTTCATTCCTTCGCAACATTTGTTATATTGTATCCAAGTTTGTCGTTCTTTTGCAAAATTTGTGTCGCATCGCATCAATTTTTTTGCATCCGTTTTGCGTTCCTTCGCAATATTTGTTGAGTGGCATCAAACTTCGTTGTTCCCTTTGACATATTTGTGTTAAATTTAGTTGTTCTCTCATGATATTTGTTATGTTGAATCAAATTTTTTGCAAAAAGTTTGTTGCTCCGTTACAATATTTGTTCAGTCGCACTAAATGTTTTTGCGTTCCTTCGTAGTATTTGTGTTGCATTGCGGTAAATCTCCAGTTCTCGTTGCAGCGCCCCCTTTAGGCCACGTCGTTACAACCACATTATGAACCAATAACACCGTGATGACGTCTTTCCAGCAGTGAGACTGAACCTGCAACGTCCTGAGGGAGGCGCCAGAGAGCAAATCATGCCATGATGAGAATCTGATGGGTTTATCCTCTGGGGAACACGAACATCCTTCAGAGTGTTGGACTGAGCAGAGGATGTAAACGTGACTTCAGAGTCTCACCGTGATAAAGTCCCAGATGTTCAGGAAGTAGTCTTTGGCCGTGTTGTTGAAGGTCTTGAAGTGGAACAGTGAGTTGATGTGATGCAGAGATCCTCGAGAGTTCTTGCTCTTCTCGCTCAGAAGCATCTTTATCATCTCCTGCAAAAGCACAAGAAGTAACGACAGGATGAAGAACCTCGAAAAATTTGTTTGTGGTCACAGTTGTTCTATCAGCTGAGTCCAGATGTTTCTGTAACACTAGGCATCTCTCCAACACTGTGTTTCGTCACGGCGACCAGAGAAGGGTCTGTGGTTACCATGGTTACCACCCAGAGACCACACAGAAAACAACCATGAAGAGAAGCAAAGCCACCACAGAAACACACAGAGTGACCACAGAGAGACGCGACACATGGAGGTTTAGTCTAAAGCAGTCCCTGAAGCAGACTTTGGTTTCCATCAAGCAGCTGCAGGCCTCTCACCTCATGAAACAGACGTTCCTTCTGAAACTCCGGCGGCGCTTCAATCAGTCCGTCCAGCTTCAGGTCTGCAGCACTGCTCGTCTGGCTGTTGGTGCCGTCGGTCCTGTCCGAGATCGGGACGTCTCCACAGAACAGGACGTGATGATGTTTCCCAGAAACCACCGGGATGAATTCTCTGAGGCCGAAGGCGTCGCTAACAGAGCGTCCAGTGACGTCCGGTACCACGGCTCCCAGACTGACCTGCAGGATGTCAGAGTCAGAACATGTAGACCTCCCAGAACCTGATACCTGGTCTGTGTGGACTCACCGTGGTGCTCGGTTCCCTCATCAGGCTGGAGAACCTGTGAGGAACGTGTCGCTCCACTCGGCCTCGCGGTCCTTTCAGAGCCTTCAGGTTGTCGGCGATGATTCGCATCACGATGATTTTCATTCGCCGACGTAGCGACTCGTACGTCTGAGAGTAAGAAATGCTCAGATTCAGAAGTCAGAGGTTATGTTACGGGAAATGTTGCCGTTTTCTTTTTTTATTATTATTTTTCAAGATATTTTTGGGCTTTATTGAATAGGACAGAGAGAGAAAGACAGGAAAGTAGGGGGAGAAGAATGGAGGAAGGACCTGCAGCAAAGGCCCATGAGCAGGACTGGAAGCCCTGACCGCTGCATCGGGGACTGTAGCCCCTGAGCATGGGCTGCCAGCTCAACCAGGTGAGCTGTAGCGGCGCCCCGTTTCCGTTCTCTTAGTGTTTGGATGCTGCTGTGTCACATTTCTGAATCATTTTATGTTCCTTCACAATATTGGTGTTACTTTAAGCGTAACTATGGTAGCCGTATTAAACTGACTGATTGTTTATAGAATGACCCAGAGGAGAGCGACTGAATATTTGTTTTCTGGATCGTGACTGGGCTGCAGGTGTCTCGGTGGTTAGCACTGTTGCCTCGCAGCTAGAAGGTCGCCGGTTGGCGTCCCGGTGAGGACACCCGGGATCCCTCTACGTGGAGTCTCCATGTTCTCCCCGTGCAGCGTGGGTTCACTCCGGGTTCTCCGGCTTCCTCCCACAGTCCAGAAACATGCTGAGGTTAATTGGTGATTGTAAATTGTCCGTAGGTGTGAATGTGAGTGTGCTTGGTTGTCTGTCTCTAAGTGTAGCCCTGTGATAGACTGGTTACCTGTCCAGGTGAACCTGCCTTCACCCTGAGTCAGCTGGGATAGACTCCAGCCCCCCATGACCGAAGAAGGTGTAGAGATGATGGACGGGTGGATCATGACTCTGATGCAGTCGGATCGTCTCGTCCTAATCAGACCTGGATTCTGCGTCTCACCTGTCGGCTCGGCAGGACGCTGCTCGGTGGAACCTTCGCCGCTCTGATCGCGGCTCCGTGCAGGTAGCGGAAGTTGACCCGAGCCTGGTGAGCGAATCGAAACGCCCAGGTGACGAAGCTGTATCCTCGCTCCGTGGACTCGGACCTGGACGGAACCTGCAGCAGAACCTCCTTTACTGAGCAGCTGATCTCAGCCGGCAACTCTGGATTCTCGTCTTACCCGAACTTTGGCCCAACTGAAGCTGAACGGCGTCGCCTTCCTGGACTCGTCGCAGCAGAACTGAGTCCGTCTGACCGTCTGCAAGAGGAACAGATTCACTGATGTGTGTTGTTGAAGACGGAGAAGCTGCTGCAGCTTTAGACGAAGTGAGTTCAGACTTGAGTTGACTGCAGCAGATCATCCAGTGAACAACAGACGTACAAACAGGTTCAGACCAAGAATCACAACTTTGAACTTCTATCACAGAATTTTCACTTTGGTGATTTTTTTAGGTTACATATTTTGACTTTCTCCAAATAATTTTTTGTCATTTTATATCATCACTTTTATATTTTGACTCTTTATGACAATTTGGACTTTCTATCTCATAATTATGACTTTTCTTTATCACACAATTTTATGTTTTTAAATATCTAATATTTATGTTTTTTAAAGATTTTTTATCTCAAATTTTTGTCTTTTATCACCTTTTTTGCTTTCTTCTCACAATTTGCATGTTTTTGACTTTTTATGACAGTTTTTTACTTTATATTCACATAATCATCTTCTTTATCGCATCGTTTTTACTTTTTTATCACATTATTTTGCCTTTTTTCCTCATAATTCTGTATGTTTGTACCTCCTGTTGTCTGCCTTCGTGTTCTCACTCGTGGAACCGACACAAATCAGGTTTCAGGATTTAAATAAACTTTGAAGAACTTTCTTTCTTTTCTTCAGCTTCCAAAACCTAAAAACATCAGCTGAGTGTAAAATGAACCAGAACGAAGCATCAAGTCAGAGACGGTGAACCGGTTTTCCCTCGGTGTTTCATCGGTCTGTCTGCAGGTAGAAAGTCTCACCTGGATGTCGTCCCTCCACCGCTGCACCTGTCCCCGGTGTTCGGCGGCGAGCCTCTTGGCATGCAGCCTGGCGGCGGTTTTACACTGCGACAGTCCGAGGCTGTTGGTGATGTTGAAGAGCTTGACGGGGCAGCGGTGGCGCAGCATCTCCAGGCTGAACGCCGTCTGCAGGAAGCAGCAGCGCAGCGAGCTGCTGTACAGAGACACCGACAGCAGGACGCTGATCCTCCGGTCCACCAGCTGCTTCGCCTCCGACTCCGTGAGCTGCCTGAGACGCCACAGATACACCTTCATCATCATCATCATCATCATCATCGTCATCGTCACACCTGAAGTTCACCTGCTCTGATCAACACACCCAGGACCCTGGAAGCAAACAACCTGATGGTGATGCTGAAGTTTCATCAACACGGACAGACACAAACAATACGCACAAGGAGACGCAAAGCAGCTCTAGATACACAAAACGACCACAAAGACACACAACAGCTGTAGATAGACGAAAACAGCCCAGACAGACAAAGAAAATCCAAAAAGAGACACAAAACAACTACAAAAAGACACCAGATGACCACAACAAATGCAAAACATCCCAAAAACACCAATAAAAACACACAAACCAACCACAGAGTCACAAAACATCACAGAGACAGAACCAGCCTCAGACAGACACACAACCCGAGTGTCGGTGTCGTCGTTGGACTTGCCGTGACTCGGTCCTGCGTCCGTTATTCACCGTCTGCTTCTGGAGCTTCCTGTCGGGGGGGAACGTGGCCCGGAGGCAGGCTAACGTCAGCGGAGCCTTGTGCTGGGCCCAGGAAGTAGTCTGGTCCCAGCTGAAGGCCGCCAGGGCCTCTGGGCTGAAGGTCCTCCTGAAGGGTCCCTGCAGGTCCGACACCAGGGCTTTACGCTGACACACACACACAGAACCTTAGTTGGTCTACATCCACACAAACCTGCCTCATAACAAAAAACAAACTTGTCCGGGGCAGAAAACCCCCAAAAAACTCAAATTTCCATCATTTAAAAACAGAAAGAATCAAACAAAAGTCATCAAATCTCACCAATAAACTTCTTCAGTGAGTCAGTTTTTATGTTTTATCCCAGAATGTTTCAATAATCTGACTTTTCCTCATCATCTTTATTTAATTTATCACGATCATCTCACGGTTTTTACTATTTTCTCAGTTTTTAAAAATCAAATAACTTTTTCTGGACATTTTTCTGGTCATTGAATAGTTTTGACTTTCCTCTCATACTTTAGTTTTGTTCCTTTAAATTCGGACTCTTGTTCCTGTCATCTGGTTCATTTAACTTTATTCTGACAGTTTTGACTTTTTAAAAATTGTTATCATTTTTTTCCTCATAATTTTACATTTTTAACAACTTTCACATAATCGTAACTTTATTCACATCATGATGGTTTCACTTTGTAAGTCGTACCGCTCACCTCCTGGCCGATGATCCTGGAGCAGGTTCTGATCAGGGCGGTTCTGAACCCGGTCACCTGCAGCAGCAGGTTCAGGGCAGAGCTCAGGTTCTTCTTCTGCAGGTACCGACAGATCCGGGGGATCGGACCGCGGCGGAGGCGGCGGGTCTGCGGGGGTTCGGGCCGGGCGGCGGGCTCCGAGTCCTGGGAGGCGTAGTCGTGCTCGTTAGGAGCCGCTTTCTGTCTCGGCTTGAGCTTCTTGGGAGGCGGCGGTTCCTCCGGGACGGACCGGGGGGGAGCCGGGCGGCGGGCGGCCTGAGGGTCCACAAACACCCGCTTTTTACCGCTTTTCTTGGTTCTGTTATAAACGAGCCGCACGCAGGAGAAGCACAGAAACGCCTGGACCGGATTCAGGTCCGGGAAGAGTCTGCTGGCGCTCCGCAGGTCGGTCAGTGACAGCAGCGACTTCCTCTTGTAGCCTTTAGCCTGCCTCTCTATCGGGGCTCCGCAGTGGCTGCAGCGGAGCTCCGTGTCCTTGGACTCCGTCAGCCGGGGCTCCTTCTCCTGGAGGTCCGTCTCCCTGGACTCCATCACCTGGGGCTCTATCACCCGGGGCTCCATCAGCCGGGGTTCCTTCTCCTGGAGGTCCGTCTCCCTGGACTCCATCACCTGGGGCTCTATAACCTGGGGCTCCACCAGCCGGGGCTCCGGCTCTGAGCCGTCGCAGCGGGGCTCCATCCCCAACTTTCACCTGCCGACTCGCTGCTTCACACGTCGGGGACCTGCGGCGATAAACGGCCACAACGTCCGTGTTCGGGCCCGGAGAGTCAGAAAAGTCCCCCTGGATTAAAGCTGGACCTGTCTATGAGGGTTCAGGCGGATTCAGGTGGAAGTAAAGTGGTTTCAAAGTGAATAAAGTAAACTTTTACCGGATAAAGTCCAGTGTTTTTACACGGAGTCGGTGTAGAATCCAAGATGGCGTCTGATTTGTCCGTAGTGGAAGCTCGGTGCTGCCGCCGGCGGCCTGGAGGGGAACTACAACAACACTGGAAAACTTTTATATTAATCTATTGTTATTATTTAGCTTAAAATCTAATTAATAAAGATATATTAGCCTATTCACAGGTTGAACTGTGGAACTGCTTCTTAAATAGTTTTTGTTCTGTATCAATATTTGCTTTATTACATTTGTGTTCATTGTTATTACTGTTAATATAATTTTGTCGTTTTTTTTTTTAATGAACAGTTTTCTGACGTGGTATTTTTAAAATGACTCCCGTGTTTCAACAGTCTGCTGCTGTTGTGTTTGTGTTTTCAGCAGCTCACAGGGACAGAACTCTGCTGGTGTTGATCCCCTCATCATATTTTGTCGTTGTTCTTTTTATTTTTGTCATTTTTAGGAAAGTTACCAGATGCAGTGAATTTCTGGCTCGGAGAGGCGAACGCCATCACGTCCAGTAAGACCTTCCTCCACCTCACCTGTTTATCACATGTACCTACCTGTGCTCAACAGTTTCTGCTGTTTACTTCAGTGCACAAAGACCACTATGAGAATTTGTACTGCGTCATCTCTGGAGAGAAACACTTCATCCTGCTGCCGCCCACGGATCGCCCCTTCATCCCCTACGGTAACCATAGCAACCGCCCTCTCAGTATCCCTATGCAACCAACAGTGGTGACCGAGCACCTGCAGTAACCATGGTAACCATTTCTGTCAGGTTCGTACCAGCCGGCCGTTTATCATCAGCGGGACGACGGCGAGTTCGAGGTCGTCGATCAAAGCGACTCAGAAAAGGTGCGTTCAGGTGTCTGTTAGTCTCAGCGCTCTGTTTACACCTCCTCACTGACCCTCCCCCCTCTCCCTCCCCCCTCAGGTACCGTGGATTCCTCTGGACCCTCTGGATCCGGACCTGCAGCGGTTCCCTCAGTACCGACAGGCTCGGCCGCTCTGCTGCACCGTGAAGGCCGGAGAGATGCTGTTCCTGCCATCGCTGTGGTTCCACCACGTCAGGCAGTCACATGGCTGCATCGCAGGTACCTGAACGCACCACCACACCTGTAACGGCAGGCACAGGCACCTGAATGCACCACCACACCTGTAACAGCAGGTACAGACGCCTGAACGCACCACCACACCCGTCTTTTGTCTTGTTGATGGAGCAAAATGACATATTATGACACATTCTTCACGGTTTTCTGACCTTTTACAGACATAATTACCGATTAATTAATGAAAGTATTGACCAAACAATGACGATACTGTTTTGTCGCCTTTCTTTTTGTCTCTGCTGCAGTGAATTTCTGGTATGACATGGAGTACGACATCAAGTACAACTACTTCCAGCTGCTGGAGGCGCTGTGTGATGTCACGGCAGCCGGAGCTAAAGTCTGCGTCAACCAATCAGGGCTGAGAATAAACTCTGACATCAGTGATGTCGACGATGTTTCTTCCTCAGTGTGAAACAACCTCTGAACATCCTGAAACATCCTGTACAGATAACAGATTTCATTATTAGTCACATTTAGAGGTTTTCTACAAACACAACAAGCAGCTGATGTTAGGCATCAGAATATCAATAAATTTTATAACCTGCATCTGAAAGACGTCGACGATTTGATTTTGTGCCATAGTGTCAGAAACAGTTCAGTAAAACGATCTACATGATGACGTCACTGCTTCATTGATGTTCTGTTACAGACCTGCTTTTCTCATTTTACTCCTTTTATTCATAAACTTCTGAAGCATCAAACCTTCAGATGGTGTTTTTAAATATCAGTTTAATTTGAGCTCCTGTTGCTTCATAAATCTATAAATCAGAGGATTGAACTGCAGCCAGTGTTTCCTCAGAGAGACTGAGAGGAAAATCCAACCTACTGGATCAATAAATAAAAGCAGCATGGATCAGAACCAGAGAACAGAGGAGCCAGTTGGTGGAGATACATCCAGCTGATGGTGGAACATCTTTCTACATGTGATGGGGAAGGAAAAGAGGAAAAGTCTGGAGACATGTAGATAGTTCAACATCTGTAGTGTGTAGAGACAACGTTAGTTCCAGTCTTGGTAAAATCTGTTGACTGGAATTTTTCCTGAACACATTTTTCTATTTACTCAATGATTATTTAAAATAACTCACTAATTTGCAAAAAAAAAAAAACGATTTTAAAAAATGGTCAAAACGATCAAATAATTGTTCAAAATGAATCAAAAACTGCTCAATATTACTCTAAATTGCTCATAATTCAGAAATATGTCAAAAATTATGTTGAACTTATTTTAAAAAATTAAAAATTGTAAAAAATATCAAAATATTTTCCATTATGAACTGAAACTTGTTAAAAATCCCAACTTGTCCAAAACTGCTCAAAATTGCCAAAATAATCGTTTGAAGTGGCTTAAAAATTGTCCAAAGCAACAACAATGAAAAAAAAAGCAAGGATGGGATCTAAATTAGGAGGAGCAGCCATGTTTCCACAGAGCTGCAGGACTTTGAATGAACCTCAGGGAGGAAACATGTGACAGGAGCAAAAAAACAAAAAACATCCATGAAGCTGCTGGTTGGAGCTCAGAGGCCTAAAGGACGACACAGTTTGTCAGAATGTTTTACTGTTTCCGTCATTTAAAGATGTTTTCCTGGATGCTGACAGCAGATAGCACAGTGAAATAAAAAAAGAGTCGAGTCGCATTTTAACCTGAAGACCCGATGAAAAAGCACTTTATTAAAGCAAAACATGTTTAACGGAGAAAAATGCAAACAGCCAGCAGACACAAACCAACACAGCTTAAAAAACAAACGGCTGTAGCGTCCATCTCTTCTCCTCAGATTCTTTTTTCGTCCAGTTTCTCGTATTGCATCGACTCCGACACTCAAAGGCCACGATTCTGTTTTCCCTTCGACAAACCCATCCATTATCAGGCAGTCGCACAAACTCTGCAGGAGTTAAGTTCACATGTAAACGCAAACAAGGTGCACAGTTTTAAAGCCCCGAACGGAGACGCCACCCCCTGAAGCTCCGCCCCTTAACTCACCTGTCAGCCTTTAATTAAACCAACGAAGGTAACAAACACCTGAAGCAACCTGTCAGTCCATCACTCAGAAATGATCCTTTTGGTTTCCAGCTTCTCAGAAGATTTTCTGCTTTTTTCAATCTTTGTAAAATGTATTGACCAAACTGTTGATCAATGAGGAAATAATCAGCTGATTAATCAATAACGAGACTCTGCAGCAGCTCAACCTGCAGCCGCTCGTGGACAAAACTTTACATTAAACGCCTAAAAAATGAAGCAGCTTCATCATGTTGATACAAAAACACCAAATTAAAATCTAATATTGCCAATAATTGATCCTGTGAATACAGATATTAAAATGATTGATCACCAGTTAAACTAATCGAACAACCGTTTGGTCGATAAAATGTCAAAAAATGCAGAAACTCTTCTCAACTCAGAGGCTGGAATCAGAACATCTGTAATCAACTGATCAGCTCTATAAATAATTCACTTCCCGCTGTTTAATATAAAGATGGTTTCCATGACAACGGAGCAACATGATCAAACAGTCGATCGGTTTTTGAACCCATTCTCAGACAGACAAGAAAAACTGAACACATTCTAAATTCATTTAAAGCTCAAACCAGCTGAGGATCATTTAAGTTGTTGTTTTGGATTTATTACAACTCTGTGATCGGATTTCAGCCGAGAGGAGACGAGTCCTGGCCGGGACTCTGCTCCTCCTGTCCAGTCAGAACTGACAGCTGATCAGAGATCAATAATCCATCGATCGGAGGCTGCAGGCAGACTGGCTGTAAACTGAAACCGTGGGGCTGTGAGGCGGTGTCTGAGCAGCAGGGGGCGCCGCTCTGCACAGAGCTGCAGGCAGAGTTTCCTCAAAACGCTCAGTTCTCAGTTTTCTTCTGGTGTTCAGATGATTAACGATCAATCACAGACTTCAGTCGGTTTCTATGAAAACAGGTCGTCTGATACGAGTCGCAGCGTTTTAAGGAAAGTCCGACCTGCTGTTGCATCATGGGAGCAGCTGATGTTTCCTCGGTGTCGTGCGGCTGCAGCAGCTGATTGGACGTTCGGGCGGCGCCTCGACGTGACAACGTTTTACTGAATCAGAACCGAAGCAGGTGACAATATTTACAGCAGTGATGAAGTCAAACAGTGAGTCCTGATTGGACGCCTGACCGGTCAGCTGGTCGCACGTCGATGTTGACGTTTGTGGCGTCACAGCTTTGTTTGGGGAACTCTTCCTGATTGGGCGCTGCCTCTGTTGCCTAGTAACAGACGCACACTGAAGACACAAATGTTACAAACAGCTGCTGCAGCCGGATTCTGTTCTCACACACACACACACACACACACACACACTCAGTCGTCATGGTTACGGCTCCTCCTGTAAATCGGCACGTTGATGCTGTGGAACGCCGGCACCCAACGGTTGTCATGGAGACCAACATTGCAGCCGGGCGCGTCCCTGTGGGCGCCATGGCAACACATCCAGTAGCCGGGGCCGTACGGCAGCGCCTGGCAGTACGGCTTGTGGTGCCAGCGGCATAGTGACACGTCGCCGCGGCCGTAGCGCCTCTTGCACTGCTTGCAGGGGTCGTCGCGGTAACGCGGGTCGGACACCCACAGCGAGTCGGCGGGCCGGACGCCGTAGTTCTCGATGATGAACTTGAAGTAGTGGCAGCTGCACTTGAGCGCGGCGAGGCTCTGCGTCGGCAGCAGCAGGAAGATCTTGACCAGCAGGTGATGCGGCAGCACGGCCAGGTACGGCTGCGGCTCCAGCAGCTGCTGCAGCCGCTGACGCATCACCAGGAAGTCCTGCGACGCCGACGCACGCCGGCTCAGAGGCGAGGCCACGCCCACCGCTTCATCCGTCTGGGCTCTGTCTGTCTTTCTCCTCCTCCTCTTCTCCGATTGGCTGGGAGAGTCAGAGGGGGAGGGGCAAATAGCAGGGAGGCGGGGCTCTGAATTAGTCTCGGCAGAAGGCGGAGCCAAAAACAACAATCCGGGAACAGGCTCCGCCTCCACATGTGAAGGAGGCGGGGCCGCAGTCTCTGTGACAGCTCCCCTCACCTGCTGAGACTCGCCCACCAACTCACCTGTGGGGGGCGTGGTCAGAACTGGAGAGGAGGGCGTGGTCAGAGCTGAGGCAGGCATCTCCACCCTAATGGTTTGAAGACAGCTGACTGGTTCTCTGCTTGGCGCCGCAGACAGCGGTGACGAAGAAGACAATGGTACCCCTGGTGATGTCGGTGATGTCGGAGATGTTGGTGATGACGGCTGGCAGGGGGCAGGGCTCTGATCGGCGGCAGCGAGCAGAACTCGTCCCACCGTCCTCCGCAGGCTGTTGCTCCTCGACAGGTCTCCCTCTGTCCTCCTACGCAGACACTCCGACTCCAGCCGGGCCACCATGTCGGACACCTTGACGCTCTCTGGCTCCTCCCCCCTGACCTCCGACCCGTCCTTGACAGCTGAGGGCGGAGCTCTGGACAACGTGATGGTGGTGGAGCTCCTTTGGAGAGCGAGCAGAGGTTTGGAGTCCGGCTGCTGCTCGTTCGCTCTCTGCTCCATGAACGCCACGATCTCCACCACCGACACCTTCTGCTCCTCCTCCTCCGCCGGCACCGGCTCGCCTTCCCGCCGCCCCCCGCTCGACTGCTGCGTTGCGTCCGAGCTCAGCGGCACTTTGAGGGTGAGCTGCTGGGTGTCCTGAACCCGGGTCGTCTGGTCCTGCTGGAGGTTCTGGTTGTTTCCAGACCGGCGGCGTCGTTTGGCGCTGGAGTTTTCCTCCCAGCTCCCCTTTGCCTTCACGGCCCGTGACAGTCCCGTCATGGCGGCGTGGTTCGTGTACACCGCCGGTGCTCTGTCCCGGTTGCCGGAGCTGCCGGTGGAGGTGCGTTCGCTGGCTTGGGCTCCGTCCGGCCGGCCTTCCTCTGAGGCGAAGATGGCGATCTTCTCGCGGACGTGTCCGGGCTTGATGACGGCCCAGATGTCTAGCGGAGCGTCGGCGTCTTCGGCAGTGGTCTGGTACAGGCCGGGCGTGTTGTTCTCACAGCCCGGCGTCGGGGGGAGGAGCTGCAGGGTGGCGACGGACGGCGCCTTCAGCCGGAGCGACGTCACGCTGCTGCTTGTTGCGTTGGCGCGGCGCAGCGTGTTCGTGGAGATGACACTGAACGGGAGGCGGCTACTGCTGACGTTGCCATGGTTACCGCTGCAGGTCCTCAGCAGCCCCCCCTGCTGGCTCACAAACAGACTGCTCCGCTGGGACGCCGTCGGAGCGCCAGGCGCATCCAGGCGTACCTCCGACCGCACGAGCTTCGGATACGACTTCAGGTGCATGATGGTCCTGAGAGAGGAAGGAGGGGACAAGACACAATTAGTGACATTATCAATCAATACTTGATTAATTATTGAAACAGATGAAGCCCAGAGAACACGTTTCCATGTACTGATTAAGCTCCCCTTAAACAGTAAATGGCTCCACCTGCTGGAACAACCAGGTACTACAGCTCATTTTATGACCCGCATCATCTCACCTCATCGGTTAAAATATTTTCAACTGGTTAAATCATTAACGGCAGCGTACTGGTGAACAATTAAATATTTAAATTCTTAATTTTAAATACTGAGAAAATTTACTGACAACTTGGCAGGATGGAGCCGTTTGGTTAATCATGTACTGGCAATAGGTTACATTCAACGCACTAAAACCTACGTGTCACACTTTAACACAAAACGTAGATTTTAAATGACCAGATACGATACACGTATGAAACATGGATCTGATCAATTGAACACAACGCTCTGGTGATTCCAAAACACAGATCTGGAAAGTACGAAATACAGAACTTACAAAACACGGACCTTGTGTTAACTGTATAACACATCTTCATATTTACGAGATTCGTATTTTCCACTTCTTTGGAAAACAAAATATTATTCTGGACATTTCTGTTGACGTGTGGCTCTGATGTCTCGTTACAGATCTGTTTGAAGGGCAGAACTAAAACAAGTGAAGCAGACAGAATCCTGGTCCTGATGTCTGCAAAGGCCCATGAAAGCTGTTTAAAGGAACCGAGCTGCTGATCTCCACCGGCTTCCAGGGGTTTTGTTTCCTATGAAGGACAGAAGCAGACGATCTGATCTCATCGACTCAGTGGTTCAGACAGAAACCAAGACTTCATGAAACGGGTTCTGAACAAACGCGGGACTCTGCTGCATGAAGAAGTAAATAAAGACGTCCTGACAGCAGCCCAGAGTCCAAACCTGAGACCGAATAGAGACGACGAGCATCAGAGTTCAGTTCAGGCCTTTCAAGGGAAGATCTGCGTGGAGGCTGAAAACAAACACCTCTGGACGTTCATCACAAGGAGCGGATGAAGAACGCCTTATAAGCCCAGGTCAGTGGGACGGACGGAGACTGGGAGGATCGCACTGGTTTTACTGGAACGCTGCAGTTAAACACTCGGAGGTGGAGAGGAGGAGGAGGAGGAGGAGGAGGAGGAGAAGAAGAAGGAGGAGGAGGAAGAGGAGAAGAAGGAGGTAGAGGAGGAGGAGGAAGAGGAGGGAGGACGAGGAAGGAGGAAGAGGAGGAGGAAGAGGACGAGGAGAAGAAGGAGGAGGAGGAGGAGGAGGAGGAGGAGGAGGAGGAAGAGCAGGAGGAGCGTCCGTCTGCCTCCTTGCCTTGTGTCAGTTCATCCAGTTTGTGACGTTCCAGTTGATTAAAGCACCACAGAGTCCTTAAACTGTCGGTCACATGTCTCGTTGGGTTTTAGGATCCTGTATTCATGCACAGCTGATGTAAACAAAAACTGTAGATTTGTAATAATGAATTATTTAATGTTCAGAGACAAATAATATTGGGATGTTGTAATTTTGGGATCTTTCTCTAAACTTTATAATCCTAAGGCTTTTCTTTGAAGAAGGAAACACGTATGTATAAAACAGATAAGTGTTAAATAAGCATCTTGCAGGTATGAACAGACGTCATGAGTTTGAAACTCGCCTCTCCTGAGCATGAAACTAGAATTTAATAAGTACGAGGATCTCCTAAGTACAAACACAGATATGGTTTTATTTATCTGGTATTATTCTTTGTTTTGTTGCTACTTTTTTATTTTGAGTATCTTGAAAAGCGCTGCATTATTATTATTATTATTATTATTATTATTATTATTATTATCATTGTTATTGTTATTATTAGCATTATCATCATTATTATTATTATTATTATCATCATTATCATTATTATTAGCATTATTAGAATTATTATTATTATAATTATCATATTCCTAAATACAAACTATGGATCTTGTAAATCAAAACTCAGAATTCGTGAGTATGAAACACGGCCCTCATAAGTCGTATGGATCTCATAGGTACAAACATACAGATTTTATAAGGACCACATATTGGTCTTGTAGTTACGACATACAGATGTTGCGTAACCGCTCTCAGACGGCTGCCTTCCCTCAGCCTAGTTCTGTCGGAGGTTGTTTTTTTTTTTTTTTCTTTACCTGTTCAAGTGTTTTTGTTTCTTCCCACCATCGCCGACTGCTTGCTCATCAGGAAATCAGCATTTTCTGTTCTCTGTTTAACATTCGTAACGTCTTCACCTCCTGAGATCACATGTTGTACCGTAATGTCTGGACTATAAGCTGCTACTTTCTTCACAGGCGCTGAACACTGCGGCTTAAACAACGATGCGGCTAATTTATGGATTTTTACGAATTTGCCTCGAGACCAAAGTGACGCTGAAGACTGAGGAAGTGATGAAGTGATTCTGAGGCTGTTCAACTCCTGAAGACACTGAAGAAGACGACTTTAGTGGTTTTAGTGCAGGAGGAAGATGAAGATAGCAATCAATGACTTTTCCTGGTACGCTGCTGTAGTTTTATTTCCTTAACCAGCCGTGTTACAGGAACTGTTCAGAAAAAAGCATCTACAGTACATATCTGTGTACGTTACCGCTACGTATTTAATTAAACTTTAAAACATCTTTCTGTGTAAATATCTCATGTTCCAACGTGGACACCTGCAGCTTAGAGACCAGCGCAGCCTGTATGTGTACACACCTGGTTTCCTGTTTAAAGTTAGTGGGTGGCGCTTATATTCAGGTGCCTCAATAGTCCAGACATTACGGTACATTGGCGCCATACAAATAAAATTAAATTGAATAAATGTTGTAATAATAAAACACAATTATCATTAACGAGGAAATATTTCTTGCAATTATGACTGCATGTGGACGGTAAAGCTGACAGCAACCTGACGGACTGAAGTTCATTTACTGGAGTGAATAACAAACAACTACATCCTGTTTTTAGATCCTCCTGAAAAGCTCGACAGAACTTTGGAGACCATTTCAAACGCTCCTCATCCTGCTCTGCTTCGTTCCTGCCTCACCTGCTGTCCTTGTCGTGCGCTCGACCACGTGCGTGGACGTGTGCAGAAACACATGTTTTAGCGTTTTAACTGCAGGATTACATCATCCGAACACGTTCATTACAGCAGCATTACCTCAGCCGTCTGCTGGACTCCATCCCACCGACGCCCACGTTTAGCTAACGCTCGTTCACAGGAGATGCTTCGTCTCCTCGGGTCTGTCGGACAGTTTTAGGTTCTTTTATAGTCGTAAATCCCGTCAGAGAGGATGCAGTGAACACTAGAAATTCACCCTGATTAATGGAAATAAAAAGCTGATTACAACGAGGACACCAGCCAGAGGATGATCATGTGAAGGTGGAAATGATTTTTAAAAATAAAGAAAAATAAAATCAATATTTTTTTCTATTTATTTTTCAATTGTTTTTTATTTTATGTATTTTTGTTATTTTGTTTGTTTATTCATTTGTTGTTGTTTTATTATTTATCTATTGTGTGTTAGTATGATTTTCTTAATTATTCATTTTTATTGTCATATTTACATTATTCTGTATTTTTTTGCTTATTTACTTGCATCTATTGTTCTCTTTATGTTTCCTTTTTTTTAAAAAATTGTTTATTTGTATTAATTTTGTTTTTGTGTATTTTTAGCAATTATTTTCTTTTGTTTATTTTTTTACATGTATTCTTTATTGTATTTATGTCATGTTTATATTATAGTGTATTTTGTTGATTTTCCATTGTTTAACTTATTTTTTTATTATATTTACTATTTTATGTTTGCAATTTAAGTATTTTTGCGAAGCTATTATTTTTATTTATTTTCTGTTGTAAATTTATTTTTCTCTCAAATTTTTTATTTTTTTTTGCAATTTAGATTTATAGATTTTATCCTCCTGTTAAGTCGACACTGAATGATTTATGTACGTCATTTATTATCTGCTTTGATTTTACTGATGTGAATTTTCCACGTTAGACAAGAAGAAAAACGTTTTTGTGTATTTTTGCGTTTCAGCTCCTAAACTCAGCTCCTGTGGTTTTGAATTTCTTTAAGTCCTTATATAATCGTGTACGGTGTCTTATTATATAATGCGAGTCTTCGGGCTTTAAAGCTTAAACGCTGTACGTTTCTAGTTTGCAGGATGACATCAGTGATGATGTAATGTAATGAAAAAAGTGTTTGTATGAAAAGTGAGTCATGACAGTTACACAATCCCACACCGACCGGTTTTCCCTCCACGAACCTCCCGAAGCCCCGACTTTAACAGAAACATGAAGTCCGTGCGAGTTTAAAACCTGAACGAGTGTTTCATTAAAGCTGCATTTAGTTTCATGAACATCCACAACATGTGAAAACGAGTCGGGGCGATAAGAAGCCAACGTCCAGCTGCTCTGAAAAACACACCAGATGCACGTATGAAGCAAGTTGTGTGAAAAGTGGAGTAAAAGATGTGAAAAAGGAAGCAGCCGAGTCCAGCTCTGGATGCAGAAACGCCGCATGGAGTCTGAAAACACGGAGAAGGAGGTTTTGGAGGTTCAGCAGCTGCTGCAGGCGAGTCGTCGTCACAGCGACTGGGAACAATTATCGTTACACAACCTGCAGTCGGAGCGGCTAATCAGAGCCAGAGACCCGGTTACATAAAACGCTGAGAGCCAACGCGGGTCGCAGGTCAAACACAACAACGGCAGCATGTGGCTGAACACAGAACCTCTGCAGGACGGTGTGTCGGTCCAGACACTACAATACCCTTGAGCCTCGGCTGCTGCTGGGCATTCAGACACCATCAGACTGATGCAGCTCTTTGGTTAGAGGTTATTTTTAAAAGAAAAACAAACTAAAATCTAAATGACCACTGATTCATTTTCACTACAGTTGAAGTTAAAACCTGACCTGCTGTGAGGCATCGGTAGATCTACTTCCTCCTACGGCCGCAAACACAACATTAACTTAGAGAGAGAATGAAAATAAAGCAAAACAGAATCCGTCTGCAGCCCTGAAGTCAAACTCTCCCTGATCCAAACATCTCAGACTGAACTCATGAATTCACTCACAGCTGAACAGCAGCTAATTCAACCTGTGAACTCGTGTTTGTCTTGTTTAGTCCACTGTGTGTTCAAACACGCAGCTTCTCACAACAAACTCACATCCAGATATTTAGCTGTTCAGTGATCATTTAAAAAAAACAAAAAACAGGAATCATGACTTTGATGACTCTGGTTGGAAACAATAACCTTCTAGATCAACTCGAGTGATTTTGAAGGGACGCAAATCTGCACAGAAAATAAAAACCTTAAATAAAGAAGTTGAAAAAGCCATTTGGAAGCTTTTCTGTATCGTGTGGCGCTCATTGATGCAACAGAAATAGTTTTTAAATGATCAAACGACTGCTTCAGCCCTGAAGCGATAATAAATAAGACATATATTCGTAACTAGTAAGAGTTCTGTGATTGGACGCTTGCTGCTGAAGTGCACTCTGGGAGTTGTGGTTCTGTCCAGACTCCTTCCTACCAGCTGTTCCTCCTGCAGCATGTGGGATCACAGTGGCTGTGTTTACCTCCAGGCTGCGTGCTGATTGGCTGGTGGCGCTGCTGAGGGCGTGGTCCTGGCTTGAGTGGCGGCTCCTCCGGCCCGTCAGCTTCACATCTCTCAGACGTTGGCTGTGACTCCTCCCACACAGGAAACCGAAGCCGTTCGTCCTCCGTCAGCGATGAAGTCTCCACGAAAAACAGGAATCCTGCAGGAAAGCACACGTTTTAACACAACGTTAACGATTTCTAACGACGTCAGAGACACGAGGAGCTCTGAATCTGTTTTTATCTCAACCTGACCTGCACAGAAACACATTCAGTCGTAGAAAAACACAGTCCAGGGTTCCTGTTAGGATCAAGGATTCAGTTTCCAGGACTCTTCCAGTGACTGCAGGCTGCTGTAACAGACTCTAGTCCACCTGCTCGACAGTCAGCGTTTCCTCTGAACAAATCTGCAGAGTTTCCATCTTTTCTAACAAATGGCGTAAATCCGGTGATTCACACGGTTAATCTGAAGCTCTGTGATCAGAGAAGAAACGTTTATCTTCCTGAAGCTGCAGCGAAACCAGAAAAACGTGGAACAACTCTGACTCAGCAGTTTATGGAAAACAAAACTCAGCAAGAAATCCTCCGATATCTGATTCAGTTATTGATCCAAAACCCATTTCTACTCTGTGACACTTCATTTTATTGAGAAAATCAGACGTGGGCTGAACGTTTCCACGACAACACAACGCTTATCAGGACTTTTTTCCAAACCGGGTTCTCCAGGATGCAAACGAACCGTCGACAAAAGTGATTATTTTCACTGTTGAGCAATCTGTCGTTATTTTCTGAATTAATAAATTAGTTTTTTTCGTCTCTAAATTGTCAAAAAATGGGAAAAAAAATCGAGGACCAGTGTTTCCCAAAGACGACAAACGTCTTGTTTGGTCCAAAGATGTTCAGCTTACTGAATAAAGGAGGAAAAAAAACAGAAAATATTCACATTTTTGAGGCAGAAATCAGAGACAGTCTTTGTTTAAAAATCGCTAAAACCAATTAATTATCAAAATAGTTGCTGATTAAAAACAGTTCATCAAACGAACTATTGTTTTCATTTCATCTGATAAGTATTTTCTCTTCGGCAAAATGTAAAAACTGTGAAAAACATCCTTTATAAGTTCACAGTTTCATTTAAAAAACAGAAAATATTTGACATTTTCAGACTAAATCAGTCCCGATGTTAAGTCTTGGACGCCCGATTCTGAGCCTAAATTCACACAAAAACTTTCAACCTGCTCACAAACCGACCACCATAAAAGCAAACGCAGCGGCAGGCGACCAACGAGCTGGTTCATCCTGGACGAGTCTCAGCAGGTGGATTTACTCTGATTACTGCAACAGCTCAGCATTGCTCCGCAGACCAAACTCCATTCAAAAATCGTCTAATTTAACATCAGTTCGGCGAACACAGAGGATGAATGCCGGTTTATTTCATTGTTTTTACGAACCCACACCGAGCTTCACTTAAACATCAGCCGATTCTACGCAAACATCTCACGTGTTCTGTTTGGACCGGAGAGTGGAAGCTGCAGAAAACAGCACGTAAAATAAAAACGGTTTGTTTGTTCTGCAGGACTTCAGGCCGACTTCTCCACTGGTTCTACCAACGTTGTACTAAAACCAACAATAACAGCTAAAATAACAGCTTACGTCTAATCAGAGGCAGCAGTCTGTTGACCTTCATGCAGAACATCACGACTCAACCTGATTTAGATCCTCTGTTGGATCGATGGCGTTTCGGTGCTGATGTGTTGAGTTTCTTTCTATACGTTGCAGACGGAGCTGATGAACGTTCAACTAATCAATGAAAAGTGGGTTTGAGTAATTATTTAATAAGAAAACAGGCTGAATTCCAGCTGGTTAAATGGATCCCAACACCTCAAATCATCAAACGTTTAGAATAATTTCAGCTCAACCTTTTTCCAGCACAAAATAAAGATAATTTGAAATTATTAAAGATAAAAAAAAAATTAAAAAAAACCTTTAGCGACTCCAGAACTCTACTTGAATCAGACGTTCTACTGGTACCTGCTCAATCAGCTGTGAGAGCTTAAGACTTTTCTTTTCTTTTTTTTAAATTTTTGTGGCGAAGCATTTCAAAATAAAAGCCTTCTACGTGTTTAGCTCTGTGTTATTGTGACCTGCAGGTTGAGGAAACATCACTGCTTCACTTCTGGATCATCAGCTTTTCTGTTCATGAGCCCAAAGATGGAACTTCTCATGCGTTTGTTTGATCAACTCGTCCAACACTAGAGACTCTGAATCGCCGACGCGACGAGAACAAACAGAGAACATTTCAGGTTTTCATCTTCAAGAGTTCCTCAGATGTCGTCGTTCAAACAGCTTCAGATTTAACGTGAGAAAAACTGATTTTCAACAGATTTATTTAACGGTAAAACCTCACAGACGACATGTTTAACAACAACAGTAAACGATGATGAAGTCTGAGGCAACTCCGAGCCGGTGGAGCAGAAGGAAGCTGAAGATCTCAGAAGGTTCTCAGGTTTCTTCTCTCCTCTGTGACGGTGAGATCTTTGGGTTCTTGACTAAACTAGAACTTTTTCACATTGGATTTTGGAAACGGCTCATCGACGCATCCAGAAATAAACAACAAACGATGAAAACGGATCCGTAGCTGTAGCTGTAGCGATAGCTGTAGCCTGACAGGAGTGATTCTAACTAGAAGCTGCTGGAACCAGTGGACCCAGTTCACAGACTGGTGTCGGCTCTCTGGAACAACACTGGCTCCAGTTTGCGCATCCAGAACAAACTGGACCCATTCACAGCCTGGTGCAGGTCACAGATAGAACACGATCAGAGCCTCAGAGCAGACTGGAGATGTTGTCTGATAACAGGTAAAGCCACACTGGTCTGTGCTGGTCTGTGCTGGTCACCAGTCTGGACATCCAACAGAAGACGTAACCATGGTAACAGACAGCTGCAGCCCTAAAACAACCCGAAGATCTAAAAATAAAACCGCCGGCTGAGCTCCGCCGTCCGGAGGCCGTTTACCTGACAGGTGGCTCTGATTACAGCCGGCGTCCAGGTGCATTGTGGGAGACGTAGGCTCCGGCGTGGGCGCACTGCGGGTCGGGACGTCTGCGGGTCGGGGTGTCTGCACCGCTGCTGTTCACATTTCTGTTTTTAGAGCCTCACGTTTGCAGCTGAAGCCCTGCAGCTGTCCGGGTCACGTGACCGCACCCCCCGGCCCCGTGATTGGTCGGGACGGAGGCGGCTTCCCCCGTTTAACGGCCCGACGCCTGTTTCAGCGTGTTCAGACAGACGACCACACCCTCCACTACCTCAGCCACAAGGCATGCTGGGAAAACAGCCCCAACTGGCTGAGAGTCTCCCTGATTCCACATGTCAGTACAGCCAAAGACCCACAGCACAGTCAGCTGGGTCCAGTTAGAACCCGGCTGGAGGAACCTGACACCAAACAAACAGGTTTCCCTGTTAACAGCCGCTAACTGATCCAGCTAACCAACACACTACACACAACTCGTTAATGATTAACAGCTACTTAACTCCAAAGGCAGGTCATCAGTAAAACATCTCAAACGGACACCATTGATCTAAACACAACTGATCATGTGACAAAATCACTGATGTTTGATCAGAACTTTATTTTATTCTACGTTTTATTTACAAATTCTCCACAAAGAAACTGTAAAAAACTCAAAACAAAATCTGCAGATGGTGGAACATCTTTCCACATCAGAGACTCTAAACTTCTCCAATATGACTAAAATTTTCCATCATGACCTTAAATTTTGTCATTTTAAACGTATTTTTGAATAATCGTGAAGAGTTTTCAGGTCATGTTGGACATTTTTTTCTGTCACTTTAAACAACTTTGAAATCATTTTAGACCATTTCAGACTCAGAGAAAGATTAAAACCTACTGGAGGAATAAATAAATCTTCTCTCTTTCTTTTTTTTCACCTGAGAGACTTAAAATCAGACTCAAAATTAGTCCAAAATGACTCAAAGATTGTCATTTGAACACGTTTGGACATTTTAAACACATTTTTGATCATTTTGGACAAATTTCAGTCAACTTGGACAGCTCTCAGGTGACTTCAGACACGTTTTTGTTACGCTTGTGGACAAATGTTGATCATTTAATGCGTATTTTCAGGTGTGTTGGTTTGAAATGGACGTAAAACACTCGTCTGGACGCAGATCGTTTCACAATAAAAACATGTATTTTTTGTGAACGCAGCCTCGGTTTCGGTCTGAACTCTGAAGGGAAAGCCGTGAACCGAGCCGGCTGACTGAGATCTGCTCTGACATACCTGCACATGTCTGAACAGGCTGAAACACTTCTACAGCTTCCTGAGGACAGATTCACAGCTTCCACTGTGGAACCAGCGTCAGAGCTCTGAAGCAGCGACGTTCTTCATCCCTTTATTTACTGAGAGCTGCACACATTCGTCATCGTGAGTCAGCCTCTTGAGGAAACACACCAACGTCTCCGACATGAAGCTCTGCTGCTTTCTTTAATCGTTTACGACTCCAGCCAACGTCTGTCTTCATCGCTTTTCTGTCGTTTCCAGGACTGAACGGTTATTTAGGGAAGATTAATCAACGCTCAAAATAGCTGCTATGACCCAGATTTTCTTTTTTTAGATAAAGAAGGTTCTGCAAAAGATAATCAGCAGAGAGAGAAATGATCTGTTAATTAGATCTCCGTTAATCGTTCTACGTGTGAGACGGAAAAACAGAATCTGCGTCCAATATCTTTAAATAAAACGTCATCTGTTGTTCAAACGAAATGTTAAAAAAATTCATTTTAAATGTTTAATTGTGTGAGAGGTTTGAATCAGTCAGACATGATTTAAAATGTAATTTAAAAGTTTGCGACAGCATTTCTAATATTTAAATTCAAGGAGGAGCTACAAGGTGATGTGAACGGATCATTCTGGCTCGTAAATGTTTAAAATATAAACATTAAAGCAGCTAAATAGATCTATAAGCAGAATAAATACAAGATAAGACAAATAAACTAAATGCAATAAATGAGGCAATAAAATGTTTAACTTGATATAATTTACTCAGTTAAGTCAATTAAAAATGTAATTGGTTAATTAATGTTTAGACATTCAGGCAGACAAAGTTAAAGGATGATTCTGGCTCAAGAAAAATATTTACAATAAACATAAGAGAGAAATGAATGCAGTAAAATATAAACTTTTTGTTATTTTATTTTACAAAAACCTCAGTAAAATATTGTTTAGATGTTGCTATAAATTATTTCAATGAAAGTAAGTTTTAGTAGTTTCTGCATCACGGAAAATATCTGAAACTTACATTTTAAAGTTGTTAAAATCCACGTGAAAGGAGAATAAACACAAAATAACACAAAGTAAAAGAAAAAAGAATGAAAAACAGAATAATCAATATTTTTTTAACTTAAAAGAAACAAAACAAATAATTGTTTTGTTCATATTAAAGAACGCAAAATGTCTAAAATATGCTTTTAAAAATAGATAAAGTAGATATAACAGTAGACTAAATAAAATAAATGAAATCTATTGCAAATAGTTCCCACTACACATTAAAATAAAATTAGGTTCAAAATAAATACATATAATAAATAAATTTGGGGTGTTTTTGCACTCCGATGAACTAAAACAACATGTTTGTGTGTTTTCTGTTAAATATCTTTATGTGATTTACGTTTAAGCTCCGAGTCCTTTAAACTCCACAGATTGGTTCTGATGCTGTTAAAGCGTCTTTAAATCTCCAAACAAACATCCTGATGAACATCTTGACCGCACACGGAACTCTGATAGCAAAGCGTTGAGCGAGCAGCTGATCAGACGTCAGCTGAGCGTCACTCAGTCATGAGGACGTCTGAAGCTTCAGCTCGTCTTAAAGGAACCGACTCCCGGTTCTACGACCCAAACCCACGTCTGGACGTTAATCTCCAGATTCAGGCTCCGTTCAGAGACGCTGAGTGTCAGAACACTAATGACTGATTCATCTGTTGATTATTCTCCAGATGAATCTGTCAGTTCGATGTGATTTTAGAGGCCTGGAGGCTGCTGAGAGACGGAGGCTTTGACATGTCAGGGTTTAAGAACGTTTTCAGAAAATAAAACTTAAGAGAAAAACAATAGTGAGAATCTGGCAGCGAGGGCGTAAAAAACAGCATCATGACGTCCACAAGCTGCAAAAACAGTGAAGAAAATAATAATAATAATAATAATAATAATAATAATAATAATAATAATAATAATAATAATAATGCTTATATTGCACTTTTCAAGATGCTCAAAGACGTTTTGCGAAGTAGGTAAAAAAAAAACATCAGCAAATATCTGTAAAATACTGATGACTTTTGCTGATTTAAATTCAGTTAACTGGCGTAACTTTGTGGTCAATTATAGTAAAAGAAGTGATGAATATTTTTAAAAAATCCTGACTTTTTATGTGAGTATTATTTGTTTACAATTTTGGCCTGTTTTTGTTATTAGTTTTTTTATAAATAAGATGCAACATTTATTTTACTTATTTTATTTTTATGTAATTTTACTTTAATTTAATCTTTTTTTATTTTATTTTACTTTATTTAATCTTATTTAATTGTAATTTAGTTTTACTGTATTTAATTTGATTTTTCTTTTATTGAAACTGGATGCTGGTACAAACACATTCCACTGCATGTTGTATAAATGTGTTTGTGACAAATAAAGCTGATCTTGAATCTTGCAATCTATTATTATTTTTTAATCTGTGATTCGACCAGATATTATCTATAATTTAGCAAAACAAAGACAAACTAAAGGTGAACAGCTCAAAGTAATTTTGGTATGTTTCAGTTCAGTTAAATTAACACATTTTCTTAAATTCTATCAGATATGAGATGAAATGAAACAAAACGGGCAAAATCAGTAAATTAACAGTTTAACACACTTTTTATGTTTAATAAATAAATAAAACAATCAGTAAAATATCAAATACTGAAAAATAGTTGCTTATTTTGATTTATGTAATTTTTCAGTTAAATATTGGAAAATAACACATTTCCATTTGCAAAAATACAGATGTTGACGTGGATATTATTTACAGTTTTGGCCCTTTTTTCTTTAAACATGTAAATTTATCCTTTTTCCTGTGATTTCAGTCGTTATCTGTAATTTAAGAAAACAGCGAAAACTGTGAAATAATAGGAAAATGTTCAAAACATGAAGAACTGCTGAAGCTTTGACGACAGAACTCACTGAGACAGTTTCAGCTCTTATGTTACATTCAGAACCGTGGACCTTCTGATATTTCCTTCTTTCCTTCTGGCGTCAGCGCTCTGAGGAACCAGACTGTAGTTGGACTAAAACCATCTGCAGACCTGATGGTTTAGTATTTGTGCTGCTGAACATGAAACACAGCTTCAGTGTGGAGCTTCTTTCTCTTTTTGCTGACTTTCATTTCACCAGAATATCCAGCGAGTGTCTCAGGCCCAAAGCTCCAGAAGGATTCAGATAATTAGTGTAATTAGACGCATCGAGAGCTTGACGTCTCCTCTGACTGAATGCTCTTCAGAACCAGAGTCTGGACTTTAACCTGCAGCTCTGAAAACAAACTGCTGCTGCGACTTATTACTAATCAATTAGTTGTCAATGATTAAATTAATCACCAACTATTTTGACAATCAGTTAATATTTTGTCCCCAAAATCAAAGAACAACCATCAGCTCCTGATCATTGTTTTATCCGTCATCGAGCAGCTTTGGAACCATTTCAGCAAAAGACAGGAGGACGTTGCACAAACACAGGTCGGTCCAGGTTGCACCAGAGGAAACGTGAGCCTTTAAATCAGCAGCACCGAGCTAGAAGCTGCTCTGTAGGCCTTCACCGGTGTCTCCTCGTAGGACAACGGTTCCAAACACGACAGGAACATCAACTTGTCACCTCACAAATGACATGAAACCAGGTGACCCGGCTACAAAAAGGGTTTCAACAACATGGTCCAGTGGCTTGAGAAGCACTGAGGGATACTTTTTACAGGCGTCCACGTGAAAAACCCAAATGTAAAGACTGGTCATTCAGATTACTAGTAACTAAGCTTGTTGTTGAGATTTTAAATGAGTTTCAGTGAGTGATGAATCAAACTCAGTCCAGCTGGAGGCTGACATGGGTAGCTCTGGCATAGCTCAGATGTTCTCCACCACCACACCTTCACATGTGACTGAGTGTGAACCTTCATAACTGACACCTTGGTGTTAATGTGGAACACAGGATGACCTTAGACAGTCAACACTCACTTCACTCTGAGATAACTGGACAGTGGTGTTGTTTCGAGACCGAACAGCCGCTTTTCTGTCTCGGTTTGGACCCTCAGTCCTTCAGTCCTCCGTCAGACCGAACGGTTCTACTGTGAACCAGCTGCAGGTCAGAGCAGAAAAACAGCTTCAGGCCCTCAGAGTTTGACAGACAGCTGCTGAGTCTGCAGTCTGAAGCTAACGGCTAACAGCTGCTGTAAACTTTCCCGGAGGCCTCCACTTCACCTCCACCTTGTTGGCGGCCAACGTGAAGCTAAACATCGGCTCAGAACGGCTCCGTTTGCCGCTCCAGTCCGTTGCACTTACCGGGCGATTCGGTAAACAAAGTGTTCGGTGCATTGTTACCAAACAAACAAACTTTGCTAGCCGCAGCGCTGACTAGCATGCTACTAGCTGCGGCCATTTGAAACCATTAAACACCTGGCTAACTGGCTAGCTTCTGCAGCTAACCAGCACAGAGCAGAGAGACACGATAACAGCGCGAAGACACCTCAGAGGACATTTAAGTGATTTTAAACTAAGCTTCGGGGTTAACCTCGATGTCTTTTCGCGTACAAACTGAGGTTTAACGGCAGAAGCAGCGCACAGGCCGGGGGTCAGACTAACCTGGAGGGGGAACTCTCTCCGTCAATGTCCGCTGGACGGAGAAAAAGCTGCTGGCAGCGACCTCAGCGGATAAACTCCTCTTCCCCGGTCCGTCCTGTGGCTTTACAGTCCCGCCGCTGTCGGTTCCTGCAGCTCGCTGCTCATCGAATTCACTTTTAAACCGTTAAATGTGGGTTTGATGGAAGCTGCGCTGCCGTTCCTGAGGCTCCTCTGAGCTGCTACTGACCGAGCTGCGGACGTCCGCCTACAGCTGTGCGTCATGACGTAACAGTCTGACAAAGATCGTCTACGAACCGAAACACGT